CCATTTGTTCGTGTTTTTGCATCATTTTGAAGTTTCTATTATCCTTATTGTGTATTTTTTAATATTTAATATTTCATGTTGTATACTTGTGTTCATAGCAGAGCTTCACTGTGATACAGACCCTCCGTGGCTCTGAATAGGACTAATCTGTTGTTTAAAAAAATATAATAAATAAATAAATAAATATACCGATAGACACTTCTCAGAACATGAAGAGGGTACACACGATCAATTTAAGTGTTCAGCATCAAATATTACGTTCAGATTAAAATCAAAACTCTCAAGCGAATCATTATAGTGTAGATTGGGTCAATCTTTAAACATAATTTTGAAATAAAAGAAAGAGACAATAATACGCTCTACTTGCACGAACATCAGAAATACCAATTCGTATAGGCCTATCGCACTTTGTATAAATGTATCATGTATGTATTTCATCTTTTGCACAAGCTGCGCCTTGAGCATTTGACTGTCAAGTGGATTTGGCGCCTTATAAATCATATGTATTATTATTATTATTACATAATTGTATTTCCATTGATAAATTTCTTTGCTAGAATCTATTCCCAAACTCTATGGTTACGTGCGACAGCGCGCGTGGGTATAACAAGAAGTCACCCAGGACTCCGGGTCCCTCAACTTGGAATTGTTCCTGGGCTTTTGTTGGTGTCTACTTGGACAAAACCCTTTTTGTCGTCATCAGTTGGGAACAATGTTGACCCGGTCTTCCGCAGGGCTCCCAAAATACCCCCAACTGAAGGGCTTCTAAACACGGATGTACGTCATAACTACTGATTTAGCGCGGGATGAAATGTGGATTTCAATCGAATTCGTTCATTATACCGATCTAATTGTCTCCGATAGTGTGATTTAGCCACCACTATTTGTTTCAGAGATTTTAGTAAAAGTTCTTGCGGTCAACCGGACGCCTCCTCCCCCTCCCCCCCCCCCCCCTCCGTCTACCACCACAACCCAAATATTTTGTTTAGCCTGCCATAGCTACAGGTGGAATTGAAAGTGTAACGCCATGCTCTGCTGACAAAGAATTTACTATTTAACTGTGAAATAAACCCGTCACATGAAAGAAATCACAAGGAAAAGCCGTTAAATTAAACTTTTATTTACTAATTGAAAAAACTGTACGTATAATATTAGTGTTTTCAAAACGCAATTTCTTTTCTGAAATCCTTATTTCTTTGTGTTTCATGTTTTATTGATCCTTTTCATTCGAATTTCATTTCATTGAATACTTTAGACTAATTCGGATCTGGGGGGTGCTTCACAAAGATCCTAAGTTGAACTTATCTTTAAGTTGGACGTAAGAATTATGGAAAGCCGTTAGCATCATTGAAAATATTTTGTAAAAATTATTTTAAAAGACACAAAATGTTGATTCAAATTATTCATATCTTTTATTATCTTGGGAGATTTCATGTTCTTGATGGGGAATTTATAAAACGTCTAAAATACTTGAATTTTTGCTTTTTAATATTTTATTTTAAGGATACAAATGGCTCTTCATAATTTCTAAGTCCAACTTAGAGTTAAGTTTGACTTAGAATCTTTGTGAAACACCCCCTGATGTGCAGTTTTATTGCAACACAATAAGTGCAAAACGGTACACCACCATTACATGTGTGATCATTATTTCACTCTCCTATTTTCATTGCGTAGAAAATGAGTCAGTTTTAATTGAGGGGGGGGGGGTGTAAATGAAGGGAAATAAATATATGAACAACATCAACACACACGAAATGAATGTATATGATTTGAATTTTAAGTACCCTCAAAATTAAACTAACAGGGAATAGTCATCATTATTTACAATATACGGGAATTGACGAATACGTGATGAACCAGGAAGATAAGAGGGATTCTCCCTGATGAAACGTTACAAAAGAATACACGGATCTCGTGACACACAGACAAGTGACGTGACACTGCTGGGTCATGATCACGTCATGATCACGTCATGATCACGTGGTTTATGAAATTATCAAAGAACTTATGATTGATCGTACCACCTTCTCTATCCTGTTTGGGATTTTTCCAAACCACAAGTAATCATTATAAAAGAATTAAGAAAAGTATGACTCAAGGATGACGATATACTTTGCTTATTAATGATGATATAATAATTAATCCATATCACTTTTAAAAATCCTTTGCTTTTCAATTCTAGAAACATTTGTCACATGCACAACCAAACTATAATAAACCTTGCAGAGGAATTTCATAACGGATATACAACCACATTCAATGTCATCGGAATCAATTTCATGTTCGAATATTTTATCGTGATATACCGGGATACAATCAGAATAACGTGCAAATTAATTATGTTTAGCCCTGACTGTTTCCGTTTCGCGTGCCCAATCTGCTGAGAAAATAACAAACCCTCAACGCTAAAGCTGAGAAAGTCCTTTATTCATAATGATAAAAAAACTTTTTAAATCTATTTGTGACTTTTGTGTATCCATACATGTATGTGCGTGAATAAACCAGGAAATGGTCGCTTACCTCAAAAAGGACTCTTCATTGCATCAATATCTTTGAATATTATATTCATATCTTAAATTTATTTATTATAATAATTATAGTGCCTTCAGAATTAATACTGATTAGCTGCCCTGGCCAAACAAGATATATCGTTTACAGTTTTGAGGTTTATGATAAGAACTATAAATGGCTTTGACATTTTTAACAGTTTCAAGGATAGAATGAAGTACCACACAGGCGTTTTCAATATTGAACAGTTCATGGTGCTATTTTGTTTTTGTTTTCTTAGTATGTGGAAAGTATTTTATCTTATTCTATTCCCATTATAGACTGATATAAAAAGCGAATACGAAATAGAAAACCGGAACGAACACGTAGATATTTTCGAAGCCATAGGCAACATTCACAAAATTGCCATTGTCTTAATTCTCCTGTTACATTTTAGTATCTCCTTATATCAAACCCTTGGCGTTGAAAGTCACATGTCATAATCCTTAAACCCGGGAGACACACCTGACCCAATAACAATAATTTGATCGTCACCCGATATTGTTCACTGCACTTTAATAACCTCAACACATACAGAAAGCAGTATGTGAATGGAAAGTGTGTTTAATATAGAGTTTATTCATGATCTACCACATCAAGTCAACATCTTGCTCTAAAAATGTCATGTGAACTCTATATACCGCCAAATCATTTATATACTTGTTGATTTCACGCGACGTATGTCAGTTCTTCCACTTAACAATCCCCTTCCCCCCCCCCTCCCCTTCCTTTCCAATACTAGCACCCTCTTGAACGTCATGCTCCTGACCAAATTATCTCGTTGAATTTCAGCAATCGGACTGTAATTGAAAGCAAAACACCAACAAGTTCATCACATTTTACGTGACAAATTAGGAACTGGAGTAATCATTTGTTATTTTTCCCGGAGACAATAGTAATTAATATGATCGAAGAAAACAGGACATTACCATGCCAATCTCAAATTCTTTCAATTTCCAAAAACTGAGTATTCAAGGTTCGTGAGAATGACGTCATTTAGTGCTTGGTAGAAGATAAAACAAACTGATATATCTTTTGTTTATTTTCATATTTTGATAACTTTCTTCCTCATTCTTGTTTAAACCACTGACCTCACCATCGTATAGCAAAGAATCTCTTCCGATTCCGGATACTTCTGAAATCTATACGTAAACCCGATTTTGGGGGGAGGAGGGGGACGGAGGGGGAGGGGATTATGTGTGAATGACCGACAAAAGCTTGTCAATTACATTTGATTTTGTCGCGATGCTCCCTGCTTTGGAAGTGTTTTTTTTTCTTCAAAAGCTGTTCCACTAGTCCCATAGAAGAACAGGGTGGACCCACCGAGTCATAAAAACACCGAATACTAAAATCGTATCTTGTCATCTCCTTTTTTTTTTGGGGGGGGGGGGGGCTATGGCACAAAATGGTCTTAAGAAAATCAAATACCAAGTGCAATATGTATATATAGCGATAATAATAACTGGAAGAGCACCTCATGAACTCTTTCGAAAGTTGAATACGCAGTCGGGGCAAGGTGGTCCCGTCGAGTCGTAAATCTTAAGAGAGTTATAAGCGAGCCTTCAGTTTGGTGTGAATAATTATAGCGTTAGAGAACAGGTTTGGTAACCTATAATATTATGAACATTGAGATCTTTGGTTGTACCCTCAAGGGAATGTTGTGATAATGATTGTTACAACTTGGCAGTGGTGTAGCTTGGGTCCTGCTATTTAGGAGGCACTGGACATGTAGGAGGGGAGGGGCTATCACTAAATGAAATGCAAGAGAGCAAGGCCTTTAAGAAGAATGATAGAAAGGGGGTTGTCGTCTTCTGTTCATCTATCTTATTTCGTCTTATTCTTCATTGATGTCTTGTTATTCTTACTTTTGTTTAACATTCACTCTTCAGTCATTCGATTGGGGTAGCCATGCCCCAGTGCCCCATTACCCCCAATGCAGTCAAGCCAGTGCAACTGATACTACGACTTTGATGCACATGTGTTTGTTTTTATCCTATGTTTTTAAAGACGAGGTCGTGCTTATAAAACTGTAATATATCATTTATTTCAAAGTCCAATCGAAAATTAGAATACACCGAAGTAATTTATTCAACGTTGTTGAATGGAAGAAGAAAGACGTATATTAAGCGATGATTTCAGCTAGTCATTTATTGCTAATATAACCATGAAAATACTACTCTGACACAAAAGCAATGGTTGTAAAAGTAATGATTGTAATAGCATTGATCATTCATATTTCATTAACATTCATTATAAATTCAGTTTCAATACAGAATATAACTTGGACAGAATAATGAGTTTGTCACTTTTTCCTTCATAAATACACATTGTAAGTGGACTAAATTAATAGTTAAACAAGGTTTTTTCAATTTCAAATTACGAACCACAGCCATCTCCACCCTTCATAAACCTTAATACTTTTGATTTCCATATTGCTTCTTTTCTCTCTCCAGGACCTCAATTGCTCAGAGAAGAAGTGTATGGGTTCGATCATGTTCCCTCCCCGGGATAAGAAACGAAGCTCAGAGGAACTCACTGTCCACGCTACTGACTTCATCAATCAGTACTTCACTCATATCAAGAGGTAAGTTAATCACGACATTGGACCCTAACACAGTCCTAATATCACCTTGTTTATCTGGGATTGTCATGTTCTTCTAATGTATTCGGTTTGGGTACAACTGCCTCTAGCAGTTTTGAACATTTTTGCAATCTTTTCTATCTCACCACTTCCGGGACAGCGGGTGCAATTACCCAGGGTCCCGTCTTATAAACTGTTGCGATCAATCGTAACTTATGTGCGACTGATACCACTCGCAAATACATATTACATTACATAGGAGATAGGTACCTGTAAATTTGCGATTGATAAGAGGACTTGCGATTGATTCGGATCAATCGCAAATCTTTATAAGACGGGACCCATGCATATGTACACCTTCTTGAACGTAGGATGTTAACTTGACTGTACGTTTACAAGATCGGAGGTCGATGAAGCTGAATGTCTTTACAAAATCAAAGTTTTCAATCTCTTGGACCCTCTGGCAATGACGGTTGGAAGAGTTCGCGAAACGGAGATTAACAGAAGTAAAGTTTTTGTCATGTGTACCTAACTCAGGTTCACGAATCAAAGGTAGACGCGGCCGTATGTTCCCATTTTTTTTTTCTGACAACGGGATGGAAGGTTCATGGGCTAAAGGCTCACCAAGCCAAGGGTTCAGTCTCTTAAGTCATCTCTCAACTATACAGATCCATTCGTATGTTTCGGTTTTGTGAAGCTTCTGACAAATAGTATGAAATTACAGGAGATCCAAAGATTCATTAAGAATCAGTGTCGTTTTGTAGAGCATACAGTGTACATGTACATACGCATCTGACGACCGTTCGATTGTTTTTTTTAGAGGAAAAGACAAAAAAATGAAATAATTAATCATGTATTGTTCCATCCCACACAGGGCGGATACAGCAGCTCATAAGAAGCGACTGGCAGCGGTATTGGATTCAATTGAGACGACAGGTACTTACCAGCTGACAGAGACAGAACTCATCCTGGGGGCTAAGACGGCTTGGAGGAACGCTCCAAGGTGCATTGGACGGATACAGTGGACAAAGCTACAGGTAAAGACTGGTTGTCATGTTGTTCAGGTCATGGGGATGATTGTTAATCATGATCATTATCATGATCATCAACATCATCACCGTCATCCTCACCATTATCATCATCATCATCACCATCATCATCACCATTATCATTATCATCATCATCATCATCACCATCATCATCACCATTATCATTATCATCATCATCATCATCATCATCATCACCATCATCTACATCACCACCATCATCATAATCAGGGTCATCACCATTATCATGACATGCATCATTCCAACATTACTATCATCACCATCATCATCATCATCATCACCATCACCATCACCATCACCATCACCAAATATCATGGTCATTTTATCATCGTCATCAACATCATAATCATCATCAACTATAACAACCTTTGCTGTGATTCGTAACATTCTTTCCCCCAAAGTATTATGAAATGGAAAATGTTTTTAAATAATACAGTGAGCGAATGTATAATTTCGCTGGACCATTTTCGTTCAATGCATTTGAGTGCTTCGTTTACTGATTCCCACGGTATGCATTAACGACATCGTTATCAGTCTTGTATTAATGTACAAAATATGTTACTGAGTGACCAAGGAACCATGAAAGCATGGGTGCTTTGACTGAGTTACAAATGGGGTCTTGTATCCGGGTACTTAATGTTTGCAAACTTTTAGTAAAGATCATTATGAAAAAAATGTTTCTCTCTGTGAGCCGTCGTCCGCCTCCTTGACTTTGTAGAATGATTAATTTCCCTCACTCCTTTTGGAAATATATAATGAATAATTCTAAATTTGGGATGTTTACCTCCCCCCCCTTTTCCCTCGCTCTCTCTCCCTCTCTCTTCTTCAATCGCTATGTTTTGCCATTTGTTTCTGTGTATTTACCCATTCTTAATGATTATGTTTCATGCACCAATTACGTTGCATTTACAACCTGTAACTTTGCAATAACATGGCATTGTGTTCAGGCTCACAACTCATCCATGGCTAATGAAGTTTTTGATCAAAGTTAACTTCAGGATTCTAACCTTTGATTCACGGCACTTTAATCATTCCAGAAGCATTGGGTAAAAAGGCAAACACAATCGAATCGATGTTTCCATTGTGTTGTGTTATCGAAATGTGGTTATCAAAAACTTGTTTTTTTAAAGAAAGCAAGCATTGAAATTTTTATGTTAGCAACATGCTAAACATTCAAAATCTCCGTTCATTCCAGTGCAAATTGGCCGCATTTTTTTCTTCAATTTTTTACTCAATTTCGCTCCATGAAAAAAACTATTTGCATATACAGGAAAGAGATAGAGATAGGAGGAGGTGGGAAAAGGAAAAAGAGGGAGAGGGAGGGAGAGAGAGAGAAAGAAGAGAAAGGGAGAGGGAGAGAAAGAAGAGAAAGAGATCGGGTGATCAGTAAGAGCCATATGAAAATTATGATCAATTTGTCCCTTTCTTTTCCTCTGTAGGTCTTTGATGCTCGCAACGCAAACAGCCCACAGGAAATGTTCCAAGCCATTTGTAATCATATGAGCTACGCCACTAACAAAGGCAATCTGAGGTAAGAGAAAAAGAACACTCACCCTAACAAGGGGTAAAACTATAATTAACACAAAAATCAAAACAAACCTGTTCTAATACTTACTAAGCACATTAATGATAATTATGATAGTCACACATGTATAGAGCTGAATTCTCCGTTTCTAAGCGCTTTTACACTGCACTTGTCCGAGTCCAATAATCATTCGACTCGACTGCTAATCCGCACATGGTAGTTCACACGCTCCGCTCCCTGGGGAGTATTCCGACAAGGTGCCATTTACAAGCGCACACACGCCAATCCAACTACATTAATATTCGCATCCTACTGGGTACCCATTAAACACCTGGGTGGAGAGGGGGTAATTGTAGATTAATGTCTTGCGAAAGGACATTAGTGTTGGGGGGACTCGAACCGTAAACGATGTGACCCACAGCCCGATGACACACCCTAACCACGACACCTCCACATGACAGCACCTACCCTGTTACTTTGTCTTCAGCTTGCAGTATCAAGATGCTACAGGGTAGTCATGGTAGTGAAAACAATTCTTCCTGTATTATTGATCTGCAGTGGCATGTAAAGGGGCATACAGGACACCTGTCCCCTCCCCCTTCTTGGATGGCGAACAAAAATCAAAATCGAATAGAAAGAAGGAGAGAGAGAGAGAGAGAGAGAGAGAGAGGAAGGATGTGAAGAGAGAGAATAGAGAGAGAGAGGAAGCAGGAGAAGAGAGAGAATAGAGAGAGAGAGGAAGCAAGAGAAGAGAGAGAATAGAGAGAGGAAGCAGGAGAAGAGAGAGAATAGAGAGAATAGAGAGAGAGAGAGAGAGACAGAGAGAGAGAGAGAGAGAGAGAGCACTTCGCAGTAAAATGGGTTGAAATCATTGCACAACTCTTTCCAAAAAACAAAACTTATAAAATTTCATTTGCAGAATAAAAAATCAGTGGTTGAATAGGGAAACTATAAATTAGATGGAGGAATACATGTACATGTATTTAGCAAAATTAAAAAATGTCCCTTTTCGCTCATAAAGGGTCATAATCAATTTTCAGATTTGACCGTTTTCCACGATTTGGGATTGTTTTTCTTTTGCCTTTTGGTGTACACATGTGGCTTTTTAAAGATTTTAAAGGTTTGTCAAACAATGGCATCAAGCCCGGTTCTATGGGCAAACAGGGTTCTCCGATTCATTTTTAAGATAAAAAGGGATTACTGTAATGGATCCTGGAAAACCTACACTTGTTTTTGTTTTTTCGACATAACAAATCTATCTGTAAAATATCTTCCTGTTCTCATATGGATTGAGATGTCATTGTAAGCTTTTCATCTCGACCTGACTCAGAAATAGTCACCTTAAGTCCTCAGGATTTAGCCAAAGATTTGTGAGATATTCTCCCTTAAGTCTTTTCCTAATACCTTCTCCACCTACGCCCTACCAACGTACTGCGTAGCTCTTGAGCTGATATGTTTGGGAGATCTCTCTATGCTTCCTGTTAACTCGTATAAAGCTTCAAAATAATGTTAAAGTACAACCATTAAACAGAAAAACATAAGCAAACCTTTTAAAAGCCCCTCTAAAGAAAAGTGTTTGGAGCCCCAAATTTGCCAAAGATTTGATGACAAAATTTCACTTAAATTGTATCATAATGTGAAAGAAGATTTCATTGAAGACACACTTCTGCAAAGATCCCCCCCCCCAAAAAAAAAAGGAAAAAATATATGTGAAGACAAATATTGATAAAAGGATGCATAATTAGGATTTTCTGTTTGGCAGTGTGGTGTTACTGAGGTACATGTATGACAGAGGTTAAGTTTTATGTGGGCTCCCCGGAGATGGGGTGGATTAGCTACGAGAAACCTTGAGGAGTAGATGGGTCGAACTTGACCAGAAAATTTGGAGAGGGTCACTGCGCAGTATGACCTAGCAGGTGGGGGAAATGTGATAGGTCTGCATGAATCGATGGTCTGGTCCTATATCACAACCGCTACTATTCATTAGGATGGAGAAAAAAGAATGGAATCATAGAAAAAGAAGAAGAAAAGAAAAAGGTGGGTTAGGGGATAAGGAGGAGCGGAAAAGAGCGAGCATATTAATTATGTATGTAGGGAAGGGATGGATATGAAAAAAAGAGATTAAATGTAAATGATCGAAAAAGCAACAAGATCTGTTGGATGACATTGAGAAAGGATTGATTTTGAACCTATTGTGTGTGATTAAAACATAACAAAAAAACAAAAAACATAAAGAGATAAAAAAAAATACCACACCACTGAACTTCCATAAAAAGATTCAGTGAGATTTTATTTTGTTAGGCTAGAGACTATGTCATGTTTATTTTGTATCAATTCTGTTAGTATAATATTACTTGTGTTAAGAATCATATAATATCCAATGTCCAGCTGGGTCCCTGTCTGAAAGTCCCAAACCCAGATAATCGCTGGAAACAGCTGAGGTCAAATGTCAAGTTGAAGGTCACATACCAAAGGAAAGTTTATATATGCAGAATCCTACTCGAATTTCCGAGGAGGAGAAGATTGCCAATAAAATACGAATACGACCACACCAACAAAAGTAGAGTATATCCATTAAAATTGCTCTTTTGTGGTTCGCTTCCAACTTTGGAGACACCGATAACATTTATCTTTTATTCCCCCTGCTTCTGTGCGTTCATTATCCCGCCAACAAAAGGTTACCGTTTTGTAAATTTTCCAGTTTTATTATGTTGATATGATAATGATAGGATATATTTCAGGGGCGGATCTGGATTTTTGCCAAGGGGGTGGGGGGGGGGGGGTTGACCCATTGACGGATCCAGGATTTTCAAAAAATCGCCCCGTTTTACTATTTTTTCTTTCTTTTTTATCCTTCTTTTTTCCCCTTCTCCCCCCACCCTTTCCCCTTTTTTCACCTTGGCCACCCAAGGGGGGGGGGGTTAAACCGCCGAAGCCCCCTAGATCCGCCTCTGTATTTTTATAGCGCACTTTTTGACACAAGTGGGAAGGGTTTTCTCAGCCACATGACCGATCCTTTCCTGTGCACCATGAAGTCCTTTTTCAATTTCATTACAATCGTGGAAGCTGCGAGCTGTGAGAGGTGTCTGCAGACGTCACTGGCAGACGTCATGGTTCGCGGTTCGAGTCACTTGCTTGCGCATGAAACATAGAGAATCAGAAGAATAAATTACCAAGGACAATAATAATAATAATGATAACATTTCGCTAATATAGCGCTTAATGTAATGTCTGTTTTGTTGAGCGGCAAGTAAAAGGAAATGGAAACATGTTTTTAAATCACGTTCCACTGACTTGGAAAAAAAACATCATTTGTTTGTTACATGCTTTGATATTCACCGAATAACAAACAACATCAATATTATTATGCAAGTTAATTGAAAATAAATGATATTGTTATTAGTGACAACTCATCAGGGATTTACAAACAACGAGCCCACTTAATACTCCTTTTATAAACATCACAAGGACTGTATGCAACCATCAAGGTTATCAAATTTACTCAAAATTAAGTTTGTCTCCACCACAAAAATTTGCTCGATACATAAAGCCTCCACTACCAAGAATTTTACACCCACCCTGCTCATGGATAAAAAGAATGATTCTGCAATGGAAGGTAAACCTATTCTTCCTTGTACGTTGACCCCACCCCCTTCCATTTATTTCTCTCTTCTTGCTTTTCTCGCGTTCCCCTTTTTTTCCCCATTCGATTGGGGGTGAGATATATGCCCCCTCCACCCCCCCCCCCCCCGTAGGTACCCCATTGTCAATCGGTGTTTGCGTGACACACCCCTGTTTCTTGAGAAAAAGAAAATATTAGACTTTGCAGATCAATCAGCGCTCTTGTCAAGTAACGCAAATTGACAATTATATCACGTTTACGAGGGAAAGAGGTGAAAGACATAAAACATTGGATTTCATGACATTTTTCAGAAATAAAACCTGAAAATGTGATCATCTGACAAGCCCGAGTGACATTTTTTTTCTGGCGTAAGTTAACTACGTGACCCTAGACACGTGTCATATTGCTGACTTCAAGATATTTTGAATCATATATCTCCAAAAAAAAAATGTTCTAGCAAAGATGAGTATTATACTTAAAGCTCTTTTAAATAAATGTTTCTCTCCAAAATCAGTCGAGACACGGAGTAATAATTACAATAAAGGCGGAGACGTCATGTTTCACATTGTTTCTTATTTTTAACAATGTTTTTTGTGACGCTATATTTAAAAGTATAATCATGTAGCTTATATTTTGTAGTCCTGGCTGAATTGAACAAGTGTTTGAATATTACAACGAGCAGTACTTTTTGTCTGTGATTGTGTCATTTTCAATAGTATCATCAGTATTGAAAAGTGGGTTTGCTTTTTAGCTTTAATCATAGTTAATTATATTTCCATTTCTATTACGGGATACCCCAAATTACTTCCGCTTGCAATATTTATAAGAGATATAGAATGATACAATAAATGAATAAATGTTTGGCGTTGTATCACGTGTATATCTCTTTTCAAATACAAATAAAAGATGTATGACTAGTACGCAAATACGTAGCCCACCTGTAATAATGTGATACTATTGGATGATGGAGTGATCACCGAATGCCATATATCACCATTGAAATTGTGTTAAACTCGAAGTACAGTTCAATGATCAATATTTTTGCTATCAATTCATTTGTTTCTTTAAAGCATATGTCGTCAAAAATGCAGACGTGTGTCCACCTGTTGTAATAAAAAACCTCAAAAACTTGTCTATCTAAGTATTTTTCATTTTAAAATGCGTAAGATTTCCATTCAACCCAGCAAATTCCTTGCTTATGGCATTAGTATCATTGCCTGCCTCATGTCTCCTCAGTCACACCGCCAATACTGACTCTACATTGATTCCAAATAGACCGATTCTTTGCCATTTCTCAACTAAATACCATTTGAAAATATGCTAAAAATGAATAATACCTCAATCATACCAACGGGACGGACAACAGACTGACAAAAATATGACACCAAACCCGCATGGCTGTGAATCAGTCGGTTTTGGGTCAGTCTGGCGGTATGACTGAGGTCTTTAATGTAATGTAATTCATTATTTTGTTCGGTCCGGTGTCGGTCTGGTGTCGGTCTAGTGTCAGCCTCGTCAGTGTGACTGAGATACATCCATGATATAATTCATGCCTGTGTTCGGTCCGGTTTCGATCTCGTCGGTCTGACTGGGGTTACGATAGACACAGATTCCATGACCAGGAGCTGATCCCCGACATCCAGTTTCACGCCTCATTTTCTTTAAGCTGTCCCAAATGTCTCTGCTGGTGTGTCACCTCACCCACCTCACCCACCTGTCTGTCTCACCTGTAGTCAGTCCCCTGTTCTGATATCATTTACATTTAGAGACTGTGGTTGGGACCTACGCGATGAAACATGTTTCTATACTCACAGTTAACAACTCTTCATTTAACGGTTTGGGGCATCTGCTACTAAATGCTGGTAGAAAAGCCTCCTTTCTATCTTTTAATCCTCGTTTGAATTCTTAAAATGTTGCTCTCCTTCCGTTGTGCATAACATACTACATTTTCTAGCACTTGCTACATAATTTTTTTTCGATAAATCTTATACACATATTTCTAGAAATATTCGAATTTTGGGTCGGCTGAGAAAGACTTCAGTGACTGGCAGCTTTCGAGGTTATTGTAGTCTCATGAAAACTATAATGGACTTGAACTGAAACTGATATTTGGTTGTTGTTCATTCTATTTGGAACAAATTTGTTTTTGAATTCTTCATAATATTCAGCCGCCAGCGCAATGTGTGGTAACTATCGCAAAAAGTTAGAAAATAAGAATCCCGTCTTGAAAATCACGAACATAATCAGAGCATGACGAGATTGTTTCTGGAACCTTACATTCTTCTCGATTTACTTCAAATAACTTACTTCTTCAAAGTGTAGGCCGTAGGTGATTTCTTTTTCTCCTAGTAACTTGTACAAATATGCCAACTTTCACCCTATTTTTTCTGCAAATTTGCTTTGGGCGAATGTTGTAGTGATGAAAACGCGAACGTAGAACAATACTACTTTGAATCGGTTCAAAAAGTGCAAGTCATAAAAAAGGAGGCCCGCATTAAATTAGGTATATAGTCAAACTCTTCAGAAATTGAGACTCCTTCAGGCTATCTCCGTCTTGTCCATGACAAATATCTTAAATGCAAAATGAAAAGATGGCAAATCTGTTTCTGCTGTTTCTTCTTCTTCTTGTTCTTGTTTATGTTGTTCTTCTTGTTCTTCTGCTTCTTGTTTTGTTGTTCTTCTTTTTCTTCTTCTACTTTACTTTCCAGTACTGTTCTACTATACAAGAAAGTCATAAAGAATAATTTGTGATGCCTATCATATTATAATTACATATGAAATTGTGAACTGATTATATCCACTCGCTGGGAATGGACGAATATTATTCCAAGGAATGTTTAGGAAGAATAAGAATAACATTTATTATCTTTACATCACTATAAATCCATCGCACATCTAATGTACTTCTTAGAACATCATTTTGTTTAACTAGTGTTAATGGTTAGTTGGCGGGACAATATATGACGGTTTATCTTACATCATCCATACAGGATAGTTTTCTGAAATGGTAGTGAACCGTGAACGGTAAACTTGATGAAAATCTCTGTGTTTTTTTGTATTTCCATCTGTTATCAATGTTTTCTGCTATTTTTCCTTGAATCGTTTCAGATCTGCCATCACGGTCTTCCCTCAGCGCGGAGAGAGGGGAAAAGACTTCCGGGTTTGGAACAGACAGCTACTTGGTTACGCTGGCTACAAGCAACCTGATGGGACCATCATTGGGGATCCGGCTGGCGTAGAATTCACAGAGGTAAGATGATTCATGACAACTACTCCCAAACCCTTCACCAAATAACCATATACTAAGTAGATATTTTCGTATAATACATACGCTAAATATACTCCTTTGTGAAGTGCCTTGAAGCAACATGATTTCATTCACCCGTTACGAATAATAATATTTCAATAGTCAGAGTGTGAATTGCATACATGTGTTGTTGCTAGGTAGGGCAAACAAAATATCTTGCCCTACCTAGCAACATGTAATATATGCAATTTGCATACTGACTGTGATTATATTACATACATGTAAATGGTCTATTGCTTCAATCAACTGAGTCTTGCTGGCTGTCACAAAAGACAGGGTGGACATTAAAGATCGGGTGAAATCCAAATATAAGTTGATTCTTGTTGATGTGGAGGTTAATATGAATAAAAACACACAATCAAATTTTGAACCATTTTAACTCTAAACAAGTGACAACAAATTAATAAAAATAAATTATCAGAGAGTTAAATATTAAATTGCACGAGGGTATCAGTACTGGGGTCTTCTTTGTTACCTTTCCTAAGGCGAGGGCATACATTTTGTTCGACGACAGTACATCGGCAATTCTCCTGTTGAAAAAGATAATTGCACTGACATTGTTGCAATCAAAGTCTCATTTCCCTCCTTCTTCTTCTCCTCCTCCTCCTCTTCATCCTACTCGTCCTCCTCCGCTTTCTATTCCAAAAACTATTCATGTACACTACCACCATAAACAGATAAATACACATACTATTATTGCCAAGTCTCATTTATACTCCTCATCGTCCACTTCCTTCTCCTGCTTCTCCTGCTTCTCTTCCTTTGTTCTCCTCAACCTTCTACTCCTTTCCTTCTCGTCCTTCTCCTCGTCATCGTCCTCTTCCTTCTCCTGCTTCTCCTGCTTCTCCTCCTTTGTTATCCTCAACCTTCTACTCCTTCCCTTCTCGTCCTTCTCCTCGTCATCGTCCTCTTCCTCCTCCTGCTTCTTCTGCTTCTCCTCCTTTGTTATCCTCAACCTTCTACTCCTTCCCTTCTCGTCCTTCACCTCGTCATCGTCCTCTTCCTCCTCCTGCTTCTCCTGCTTCTCCTCCTTTGTTATCCTCAACCTTCTACTCCTTCCCTTCTCGTCCTTCTCCTCGTCATCGTCCTCTTCCTCCTCCTGCTTCTCCTGCTTCTCCTCCTTTGTTCTCCTCAACCTTCTACTCCTTCCCTTCTCGTCCTTCTCCTCGTCATCGTCCTCTTCCTCCTCCTGCTTCTCCTGCTTCTCCTCCTTTGTTCTCCTCAACCTTCTACTCCTTCCCTTCTCGTCCTTCTCCTCGTCATCGTCCTCTTCCTCCTCCTGCTTCTCCTGCTTCTCCTCCTTTGTTATCCTCAACCTTCTACTCCTTCCCTTCTCGTCCTTCTCCTCGTCATCGTCCTCTTCCTCCTCCTGCTTCTTCTGCTTCTCCTCCTTTGTTATCCTCAACCTTCTACTCCTTCCCTTCTCGTCCTTCTCCTCGTCATCGTCCTCTTCCTCCTCCTGCTTCTCCTGCTTCTCCTCCTTTGTTCTCCTCAACCTTCTACTCCTTCCCTTCTCGTCCTTCTCCTCGTCATCGTCCTCTTCCTCCTCCTGCTTCTCCTGCTTCTCCTCCTTTGTTATCCTCAACCTTCTACTCCTTCCCTTCTCGTCCTTCTCCTCGTCATCGTCCTCTTCCTCCTCCTGCTTCTCCTGCTTCTCCTCCTTTGTTATCCTCAACCTTCTACTCCTTCCCTTCTCGTCCTTCTCCTCGTCATCGTCCTCTTCCTCCTCCTGCTTCTTCTGCTTCTCCTCCTTTGTTATCCTCAACCTTCTACTCCTTCCCTTCTCGTCCTTCTCCTCGTCATCGTCCTCTTCCTCCTCCTGCTTCTCCTGCTTCTCCTCCTCAACCTTCTACTCAACCTTCTACTCCTTCCCTTCTCGTCCTTCTCCTCGTCCTTCTCCTCGTCATCCTCCTCCCCTCCACCTCTTCCTCTTTTTACTTCAAATACTACTGGGCCTTTTCTACCACCAGTACTACTATACGGTTAATACCCCTACTGTTGTTGATTCTTCTTCTTCTCCTCCTTCTCCTCCTCTTTCTCCACTCCTGCTCCTGTCGCTTCTCCTCATCATACAACTTCTTTTTCTTCTTAGTATATATTATATCCTGCATCAAAATTTGTTGGCTTTTGATTGGTTGAGAGTTCGTCACATGACCAGAAATATTTGACCTATTTTTAGAAAGTACTATATGAGAGTACTATTTGGGTTTACTATTTGGGAGTTGAATCAATTTTGTTTTCAAATCTTAATTTAATGAAAACAAAATATTTTAAATCTTTTTAAATAAAATTTTTGATTTTTTGATTTTGAAAAAAAAAAAATTGTTGATGCAGGATATAAAACAAATATACCATGCCTTCTATTCGAGGTACTGGTTAAACTATGGGTCTCGGTGACTCCAAAAGTACCATTTGCTTCGAGGCTGCGCCCCTCAGCAAATAGTACTATTGGAGTCACCTCTTGCGCATAGTTTTAACCAGAACCTCTCAAGGCAGTGTATATTTGTATACTATCACTGCCTTTTTACTTCTACCGCCAACTTTACTACTTGTTGCTACTTCTGGAGCTGCCGCCACCACTCTTGTTATATACTTCTCCTGCTTCGGCTTCTAACTCTGCTTACTAGGCTGCCAACTCAGAGCGGTTTTACTCCTGGGGGTGTTTCACAAAGATCCTCAGTTGAACTTACTATCTCTAAGTTGGACTTAACAATTATGGAAAGCAATTAGTATCTATTCAAATATTTTGTAGAAGTTATTTTATAAGGCATAACATGTTGATTCAAAGTTTTTCATGAGAGATTTCATGTTCTTGATGTGGAATTTATGAAAAGTCTAAAAATAATTGAAATTTCGCTTTGAATATATTTCATTCTAAGGCTGCAAATGGCTCTCCATAATTTTTTAGTCCAACTTAGATTTAAGTTTGAGTTTTTTGAAGATTTGTGAAACACCCCCAGGTGAAGTTATGTGCCATTTGTCCAGCCACTCTATTTCTGCAGTTGCTACATTTTGTTTCCTTTCGGTGTAAATAAATATTACTACCTCTACTTAACTGAAAAATACTTCATGACATCATCCAACAAACTTATACCGGTATCCCTGTTTCTTTTATTCCTGCAGGTTTGTCAGAAGCTTGGATGGAAGGGTAGCGGTGGTCGTTTCGATGTTCTCCCTCTCGTACTCAGCGCCAACGGTGAAGACCCCGAGATGTACGACATCCCACCAAATCTCATTCTCGAAGTCCCAATCGAACATCCCAAGTAAGTATCACGACACATCTTATTTTCTCTCTCATTTCCCCGACCTTAAAGATGAAGGTGAGTTCTGGTTATCAGATTGCAATGTGAAAGAAAAGGTGTGGAATGGATCAGATAAAGTTGATCATGTAGCATGTAAGTATTGGTGTGTACTGCAAGGTTCTGGAGTCATCAAAATCATAATAAATTTGGCCCAGTATAAGGGACTACACAAATGGTGTCGGGGCTACTAACCTTGATTTCCTAATCTTTCTATGCTTATTACTCAGCCAGTATACATTTTCTACCAAAATAGTTTGGCAAATGACATTTATTTGTAATCCTGAACATTTAGTGTATGTTTTGTTTGATTCTGTGAGAATCCATTTTCTTTTTTTAAAAACCAGAACTCACCGTTATCTTTAATTTAGGCAGCCCTCTCAAAAAATGTAGACATATAATCGACAACATTTTGTACCTGGTTCATTCAGTCTGAGATTACAATATTTTCAGCTAATGAGCTCAATATAATTATGATATTTCTTTCTCTGTGATGATTGAAATTACTATCTTTCAAGAGGATGAGACTAAAGATGATAACCTCTAGATTCATAACAGCCTTGATCTTGTATGTATTTCACGATTTTTCACGAATCATGAATGCACTTTGATATTAATAATTACAAAAAAATGCTTTTATACATTATCGAAGATGAACGTCTCATTACACATTTTACATTGGCGGTCTCTTGAAATTCTTACATCCGCACCTCGACCCGTAAATCTAGGAATTCACCGAAAAGAAAAAATAAATTTTCGGCCAAGAAGACACCAGTTGATGAACAAGTCGTGTGACCATATCTCCGGGTAGATTTTATGGTTATTTTCATCCAATCATAAACGAATTTTAATGTTAGATGTTGTGGGTTCGTTTCACGTCACCTTTCAGTTTCGTATTTGTCATGACACTTGAATATGATTCTTATTGTCCAAGACAGATTGTCAGAAGTACCTGCAAAGCATCACATCATGGATTACAAATATCATATGATTTATCAGTCACGGGGAATAGTTTATCGCTCAGGGTATTAATTTGTTTTTTGAAATGTCACTGTTGTGAGATCTACAGCAAAGCCAATATGACATTAACTAATGCTTTACAAATTGTTTTTGCTCTTTTGCCCGAACTGTGTGTAAATTCTCACAACTTTCTTGTGAAATTAGTTCCGACGTCTATGCATCCATTAACTTTGTTCGAGAAAGTTTTCTTTGTCTCTAACAAGGCATCTATTGTCAGCTTTAACTTAGACAAATTGACGACGGCTCAGAACTATTGCATCCAAATGTTCATGTTTAGAAATAGTCGCTCGAATATCTTCCCCAATTCAAAACTTTTCTATGTTTTATTCTACTTCTCATTCAAGTAGAAGAAGCTTTCACCACTACATGATATTACCGAATTTTCATTTGGTATAATCTTCCCTTAATGCCATAATTATTAACACAATTCTATGTGTAGTATTTGTCTTTGATTAACTAAGACTATTTTCTTTCCCACTCAAATGCTGTTTTATATTGATTGTGGATGCATGTATTGATATTAACAAATCATGTCTTTATGTCATAGGCTTATCATGCCTAACGATTTTGAATGCATGTTTAAATCCATGTCGGACTAAACCTCGGGCAATGATGCTCACACTTACGCCTTGTGCATCGATTCATACATAAAATTCCAATGAAATTCACATTATGACTATGACTTTTTTTTGTTCATGTTTTATATCTTATCTTGTCACGTTATCGTATCTTGCCATCTTATGTTATCTTATGAAAATGGAAGAAATAAAAAGAATCTTAACAAACAAAAGATAGATCTGACAAGAGTATAGACTTTTCCCCACTTCTGATTACAAGTCATTCAAGGAAAACAGTATTTATATTGGTAAGGCTACTCTGGGTCAGCAAAACTTTATTACTATTATTGTTATTGTTGATTCGTTTATTTATTCACCGTAAAAACCCAGTACAGCTGTTCAGCTGTTTTACAACGGGGCCGTGCATATACAATAGCAATACAAATTATAATCATAAGAACAAAACCATATATCATATTATAAAGAAAAGCGAAATATTAGACTTACTGATGACACACCGAGAAGAGATAACTTCTGGGATTGAATTATAAGTTATTATAATCATCATCTTCTTCTTCTTCTTCTGATTAAGTCTGCCTCCTTCAATTGACTGAAGATTCGCCGTCATTATTATCAAAATTATGATTACAATCATTGCTATTATTCCCAGGTACCCATGGTTTAAGGACATGGGACTGAGGTGGTACGCTCTACCAGCCGTGTGTAGTATGATGCTGGACCTGGGTGGTCTGGAGTTCACGGCATGCCCCTTCAATGGTTGGTACATGGAGACTGAAATCGGCGCAAGAGACATCTGCGATATGAACAGACTCAATCTCATCGAGGTATGAACCATTTTTTTTTAATTCTCAAAATTCACTCTGAAAATGTGCTTCATTATACCTTAGTCACACCGATGAGAGCCGACAACAGACGGAACAAACTTTGTTTCTGTATATGGCCGATGTTTTTTTGGTGTGTCGGTCAGTTTGCTTGTGTGATAAGGGTATTGTGATAGTTCAAGAAGCATGATTTTTATTTTTCAGCAGCTGTGAATGTTTGCCAAAATTTCGTAGGAAATGGTTTGTTTATGTTGTTGATCAATAGGATCTGTATTCTGTTTTATTTGATGATTTTAGATTCATCGTTAATATTTGCACAGGCACAGACGACAGTAGAAATCAGATGCGAATATTAATGAAATGCGGATATTGATAAAATCAACAGTATTATAGTGAAATCGATGTTATAATTTTAAAGGAAAAGGTGAAGGAGGTGAGGGATGGTAAAAGAGAAGGAGGCAGGAAGCAGAAGTATATGACAGTGGGAAAAGAAAGAAGGTCATACGACAGGTACCTACTTCTTGCAACGTTCAAATCTGTACTAAAAACGCACCTTTTTAGCCTTAATTAATTAGCTTAAACTGTATTTTGTCCTTACTTACGTTATTTGTTTTGACCATGTTAGCTATCTTTCTATTATGTTAGTTACTAAGTAAAGTTAGTAGTTATGAGATGTGTATACTTCTCTTTGTTGATTCCTTTTGTGTGATTATATTTCTCTTGTCATTCATGCTTGTACAGCGCATAGAGAAACTTTGTTTATTATACGCTCTATAAATATTGTATTATTATTATAAGAAGTAGCAAAAGGCGGGGAAAATTTTAAGATCTAAGAACAAAGCAGATTGAAGGGCGCTGAAATGGAAGCTGGTAAAGACCATTTTACGGTAGATAATAGATAAATATCACGCTTTGTGAAAGAAGGATGTAGCGAATATTTTCTGAAAACGATGCTACCGTTAATACTTTACTTGGCTATTTGTTATTAAGACCGCGTATATATTTTGGTCGTCATCACACAGATTCCTTGAAACTACAATCAAAGTGTTCGTTTGCACAAGTGTTGTTTCCCTCAAGGACAAATCTTCTATCACTAACGCTAGCCTATTGCTACTCGTTTTGAATTTCTGTGGAAATACTACAGTATTCTGGCGATCTAATTACCTTATATTCTAAGTTTAACACCTCCGTTTGTTTACCTCCTAAAACGCGTCACGAATTGACTTAATAATGAGGTGTGAAGATACCGATTAAATGACATTGGATAGAAGGAATGTTAGGACGGCTTTAAACGGGTTTTAAAGGTTGAAGAATTCTGTGTAATGTGTAGTGTAATGCTTTGAAATTATATCTTTATTTTTTTTAAATTCTTTACATATTTCACATTCACCATCATATTAATTTACATTGTAATTAAATAATATACGATAATATGATAAAAAATAATATCACAATACAAATACAACGAATAGTTTCCAACGAAAAACTTTACACATGAAATAATGCCTCTCTGAAATCTAATGAAAATTTTGCTTCTCTCCATTGCAGTGAATGATTTAAACACTCACGTCATCACAAATCGTTCAAGAAAAAAAGTTTTAAAAAAGAAAAGAAAATTAACCCATTTTTGGCAATCTTGGCAAACTACATGCATGAGATTACAAAGAAGTTAAATAGAAACATTATATACCAATCGGACGTCATGAATGTGACTCAGGATACGGATGATCAACACGAGTCGTAAAAGCATAGGAGTTCAATGACATATGATATAAACATATCTTTTTGCGTGGTGTTAGGAAGTGTATACATACACCACATCCGTCTACAAAGAAATCTTCCTTATAAGAAAAAAAAAACATTTCCTGATGTATTTCATAATCAATTGTATCAGTATAAATGATGATATTTCTTAAATATTGCACTGCGTCATACCCAAATATATACACCCTCCCTACCCCCTTTCCTCACCCCCCCCCTTCCCCAAAACACCTAAAGAAATCAATTAAATATTATACTTAGAGTTAGGGAACACATACAAAGCAACAACAACAAAATGGTGAATATTAGTAGCAAGTAGTATATTGCCGTGTTGTAAGTCATGAACTCCTACGTGCACTTTTCAACATCGGCATTCTTATTGGGGAATCTTGGCCCATCTTGTAAAGTGGTGGTGCGGGGAGGGTGGTTGTATTCTCAATCATCTCTTCATAGATTGGTATTCGTTTTGCACACCGGACCAGACAAACATTATCTTCTTACTCATCATCCTTAAGACTTGTACGAGATTAACCGATCAAATACTAGAGCCCTTCTCACAAGAGATAAGTACACAGTATTATCTCACCCCAGCAAATAAATATCAAACAGCTCCATGGTTTGGGCAAATGGATTAATTGATAATAAACCATAAAACAAGATAAGTAGCAGTTCTTTTACTTAGCCCGTATTGCGGTTTAAAATAGTGGTTCTAGTGATTTCTTTAAAGGTATAGTTATTTATGGAAAGATGGAAAGACGTTGTTGTATTTCATTTTTAAATAGAAAGACGAGTTTTGCAATGGTTTCCAAAAGACAGACTTCCCAACTCAATATCCTGATTGCATAGATACTTATGCGAAAACATTTAAATGAGCACGTACTCAAAAACCTGTGAATTATTTATGTTTAATATCCGATCTAATTTCAAAGGGTAGAGCTGAGTTTTGGTCATGTGGCTGCAATGTGAAAGAAACTGTCTGCAAACAAGATTGAAAAAAGTTGATTATGTGGTACATGCAAATTTGTGTATATTTTTTAAACATCCAAACTTTTTATATATTTCCCGTCATATTTCAAATAAAAGAGCATTTGAATTGTCCTTTTTAAGGTGCTTTTTCTCTGATATTCTTCCAAACTGACATAAAAAGAATGAGAAAGATATCAAAGATTACCAGAATCCAACCTTGACCGTTCATAAACCGAGCTAATTTCTAATAAAAATATTTAGCTTATTTGTAGATCTTTAATAATTATTATCGGTAATGATGTATTCAAAATATATAATATATTATTGATGAATTTTAGAAGTAATGTATTTTAGTAAATAAAACGAAATCATGAATTTTAAAGTGTAAATAAATGCATAAATCTTAAAACAGGTTTTTTGTAAGGATCGGTTCATTCGCTGTATAAGCATTTCTATCAAATATATTTCCTTCATACTCTACACGGGAAGATAAAACCAGGATGTATATATCTGTAGGTCACGTGGTCACAGATAAAGTCTCTCTCAAAGTTAGGTCTCTAGAAAAAAACGGGGAAAAAAATATTACTGACATCTACGAAAATAGCTTCGGGACCTCGTAGGTCATTCTGTAAAGTCGTATTCCTTGCATATTTGATCAGTTGGTAGACATGACCTTGTGCCTCCTGGACTTCATGTAAACATGTCTATATACAAATACAGAATACGATATGACATTTCATACGCATTTAAGAAATGATTAGACGTTATTATTCTCAAGAAATTGATTGTGAATCTTTCATTCTGGTAACGAAAAATTGATATATTTTGATATTTTGAGGATCGAATAATAGTCTAGATCGTTCTATGAAGAACCAGGGAGGTGAGACAAATCTGGAAGAACGAACCGCAAGAGTGCCACTGTATTTGCAGGGGATATGGTATAGTTAAACTACTCCCCACTATACAATTCTACTTTAGGCAAATCCATCATTGTTCATTGCGAAAAATAATGCCACCTTTGGAATATTTTTGTCAAACTATTTCGGCAACATTTTGTTCCGATTTCTCCCTTATCTGCCTCTCATTCAAAATGCATTGGCGACCCCCCCCCCCCCTCTCGATGACTTCGCATTTTATTCTACAAGATCACAGTGTACGTCACTATATAATCTTTGTTTCTTTTTATGCAATCATTTAATAGTCGCCTTTTAAGCCCATACCTTTATATGGTGTTTTTAATTGTGAAGTTTTATCACCTTGAACACAAGAATGCCTAAATAGAAGTAGTTACTGATAACGACGATTTTAAACCTTGAAATCGTCCTATTAATCCTGTGTATAATCTTCAATGAGTGCCGTACCTAGTAACCGTGCTATGCAGTATTTACACGTTCGGTACACCTTGTTTTAAAATGGTGAACCGCGACGTGTATATGTTATCATAGAAATCACCGTGTCATTACTAAAAATTAAGAATGTCAGATAGGGTATGAGGTTGCGGTGCGATGATGCATAAATCCAAATAGTGTATACCCACCTGAACAAAAATCTATTTGAAGAACATACGTATTTTTTCAGAAGCTCCTAACTGGTGATGATTTTAAAATATTAACTTTAATTTTTTTTTCTTTCTCTCCACTTGTTTTGTAACGACTCGGTTAAGTGTATCACCACAATCACACGAACAAGATTTGGAACATGGTCGCATAATTATGATTACATATTATTTTGTAGTTGTCTTTGACAATTGACTAAATTTTATATTGACTCGAAACCTGAATCTTCTTCACCTGTTTGCCATGAAGCAAAATGCCTGATCGAAAAAAAATCATTCATTTCAGCAGGTTGTACATGCATATTAAATGGTTATAGATTGGTATAAATGAATTTGTATCTGAACAAAAGCTCCCCGTAGTACGCAAGCCTCCGGAATGTGTAAAAAGAGCCAACGGAACTGCCCCGTTCCTCTCGATGTATAGTTAGGCCCCCATACGCTACTAACGTTTCCTGTAAAGAACTCATAACAAAGAATCAAGATTCTTGAAGTACTTTGTAGCACATAAGTTCAGTTAACTTCTTAAATCAAGGAGATGTAAACATCCACAATGCTAACACAACTACCGGTCGATTCCTTTCTTTCGGTATTGATTTGCTTTCAGAATGATAGTTCTGTTAATCTTCAAGCCTCCCAAAATAAAACAGAGGCCTTTTGTGGTGGTTTCGAGAGTCGATTATCATGAAAGGCTTCATTGGTATAACCAAAAATACTTCAGGGAGAACAACTTTCTCTTTTACTTTGTAGCATATTTTCCTTGCAAATGCTTCCCGAAATGCTTCCCGAAATGCTTCCCGAAATGATAAAATGTTACTTATGATCCGCAAATATCAAGGTAGACTTAGAAAGGCCTAGAACATGTTATCTTTTGGGGGTAAGAGGTTAAGTGCAATATCATAGGGAAAATCATACAAATTGCAAATAAAACCAATTTTAGTTTTTACACCAATTTCATGATCGACTGTATTTTAAAAGAAGACGTTCTCATGGTGGTTAACGAAGCAAGTGATTAGGCAACAATGGGTATAATAATTGTTATAAATACAAATATTTCATATCGAAAGTTTTAGATCCTACGTATTTTAGTGCATTCCTGTTTACATTATAACCATGAGCCTATGGTGGCCCTGAAGGGACATCGCGAATAGACTAAATCGTGAAAAATATGCGATAAAATTCACGATATCGTCAATTTTATCGCATATTTTTCACGAAGAAATTCACGAAATTGACGATATCGTAAACTTTATCGTGAACTTTTCACGATGAAATTGACGATATCGTGAATTTTATCGTGAAAAGTTCACGATATAAAGTTCACGATATCGTCAATTTTATCGTGTACTCTATCGTGTACTCTATCGTGTACTCTCCTGACGGGCGCTTCGTAAACAAAACCAGCCCTATAGCTGGGGGAGACAGAGAGAAGGAAAAAAAGGGAAAGGGAAAGAGAAGATAAAAGGAAAGAAAGAATAATAAGAAGAAAAGAGGGAAACGGGGGGGGGGGCGAAGGGCTCTTGCCTCCTCCTCACTCCCCCCCCCTCCCCGCCAAAAAATAAATCAGAGAGAGAGAGAGAAGGGAAAGGGAAAGGGAAAGAGAAGATAAAAGGAAAGAAAGAAGAGGAAGAAGAAGAAAAGAGGAAAACGGGGGAAGGGCGAAGGACTCTTGCCCCCCCTCCCCCCCCCCCCGCCAAAAAATAAATCAGAGAGAGAGAGAGAAGGGAAAGGGAAAGGGAAAGAGAAGATAAAAGGAAAGAAATAAGAGGAAGAAGAAGAAAAGAGGGAAACGGGGGCAAAGGGCTTTTGCCTCGTCCCCCCGCCCCCCGCCAAAAAATAAATAAGAGAGAGAGAGAGAAGGAAAGGGAAAGAGAAGAAAGAAAGAGAAAAACGAAAAAGAGGGAGAATAGGAAAGAAAGGAAAAGAAAGAAAAGAAAGGAGGCAAGAGCCCTTCGCCCCTGTTTCCCTCTTTTCTTATTCTTTTTCCTCTTCTTTCTTTCCTTTTATATTTTCTTTCCCTCTCCCTTCTCTTTCCCTTTATGGCGGGAGGGGGGAGGGGGAGGTAAGAGCCATTCGCCCTTCCCCCGTTTCCCTCTTTTCTTCTTCTTCTTCCTCTTCTTTCTTTCCTTTTATCTTCTCTTTCCCTTTCCCTTTCCCTTCTCTCTCTATCTCTTATTTATTTTTTTGGCGGGGGTGGGGAGGGAGGAGGCAAGAGCCCTTCGCCCTTCCCCCGTTTCCCTCTTTCCTTCTTATTCCTCTTCTTTCTTTCCTTTTATATTTTCTTTCCCTTTCCCTTCTCTCTCTTATTTATTTTTGGCGGGGGGGGGGGGGGGAGGAGGCAAGAGCCTTTCGCCCTTCCCCTGTTTCCCTCTTATCCCTCTTCTTTCTTTCCCTTTCCCTTCTCTCTCTCTCCGATTCTCTCTCTCTTATTTATTTTTTGGCGGGGGGGGGGGAGTGAGGAGGAGGCAAGAGCCCTTCGCCCCCCCCCCGTTTCCCTCTTTTCTTCTTATTATTCTTTCTTTCCTTTTATCTTCTCTTTCCCTTTCCCTTTTTTCCTTCTCTCTGTCTCCCCCAGCTAGGGCTGGTTTTGTTTACGAAGCGCCCGTCAGGAGAGTACACGATAGAGTACACGATAGAGTACACGATAAAATTGACGATATCGTGAACTTTATATCGTGAACTTTTCACGATAAATTCACGATATCGTCAATTTCATCGTGAAAAGTTCACGATAAAGTTCACGATATCGTCAATTTCGTGAATTTCTTCGTGAAAAATATGCGATAAAATTGACGATATCGTGAATTTTATCGCATATTTTTCACGATTTAGTCTATTCGCGATGTCCCTTCAGGGCCACCATATGAGCCTATGTAACTCCGTGATTAGGAAGACGAACAGTAAAAGTATGGAAAAGTCAATAACCCGGATTATGCGCACTTGTTTACATTTCGCTCTTTTCGCTGAAAGTTAACAAATATAAAGATATTAATATAAAAATCCCAAGACCTAGAAATAGAAAACGATTGAATAATGATGCACCTTAAACAGGATATACGCTGGGTTTCCACAACAACAATTGAAAAGCAAAGTTTGTACGATTTCATGCCGTGGTTGATGACGCATCTATCACGTCATTTCTTGGTATATGTTAGGGCGTGTCTGTTATCATAATTGAACATGAAAGTTTAATCATTTATTTGTTTTGTTTGATATTATTTCGTTATGGTGACCACATACCACAACATTCTAAGTCTGATAAATCCCGATTCAACCACTGTTTTTGTTCAAGAAAAATCCGAGATGTTCAGCAGATTCCTGAAAAATGAAGATATTTTTATAGTTGCTTTCTATTTCAAAATTAAAGCCAAAAGTATAGTTTGGATTAAAGACTTTATAATTTGATTTAATCATTAATATTTTCTTTCTCCTTTTCATTTTATCTCACATCTCTCTTACCCACTTCCCTCTTCTCTATGTTTCTCTTTCTCCCTCACTCATTCTATCTAATCTATCTATCTATCAATCTATCTTTCAATCTATCAATATCTCTATCCACCTATCTCTCTCTTTCTATCTATCACTCACTTGTTCTTCTCTCTCCTTCCCTCTCTCTCCTTCCCTCTCTTATTTTTATTCTCTCTCATCTATGCCTACCTTCCTCTCGCTGTCTCTTTTCTTTTCCTTCCTTGATCTCGTTTCCTTTCATTTTCTTTTAAATCAAACAGACCATCGGAATTCAGATGGGTCTGGACATCAGTACCAACGCAACACTTTGGAAGGACGTGGCTTTGGTTGAAGCTAATGTAGCCGTCTTATATAGTTTTCAGGTATGTCATTATGATTAATGATTCATCGAGATGCAGTGCTCGATCTGCGTTGACATGGTGTATGAATATTATATTGTTAAATGACGAAAGAATGTTTTGTATACAGTACACGCCGAAAATCTCCGCAACACGATTTACACGATTCAAAATTTACACGATTCGACTGCTCGCGGGAATCGTGTAACCTTTTATTTTTACACGATTCGTTTTTTGCCAATGAAGCGTAATTTGAATCGTGTAAACGTGTAATCGTGTAAAATTACACGATTCCTCAATTCAGGTCGAATCGTGTAATCGTGTAATCTGCCCGCCGAAAATCTCCGCAACACGATTACACGATTCAAAATTTACACGATTCGATTGCTCGCTGGAATTGTGTTACAATTTATTTTCAGTGGTGATGGTGAGCAGGTTAAGGACGTCTAGTTCAGTAAAAGCTAGAAGTTACTTCTTGGTTGAACGAGGACAACGTGGACGATACGAGGGGATAGCGAAGATTACGCTTTCTTTCTCTTGTATATATTTTTAATTGCAGTGTCTTGTCTCTAGTTTTATTATAGAATGTTTGAAAGTTAAAAAAATCAGTCCACTTCCCGAAAAGCACTCTCGGATTTAATCCTCGGTGAGAAAAAAGAAAAAAGCGATGAACGACGAAGGAAGGAGGGAATTTGTTATTCCTAAGTTGTAAATAAGTAAAAATGATTACAAAATGTAAAGGAGGGCTAACATAATTAAGTATGTTGTGATACTCTTACATTACAAGGCTGTACCAATTAGAATTACGAAAACCAAGGTTTGTCGACAAACCTCCTTTGTGAATTCGGGCCTTAGACTTTGATCACTTATTGCTTTTTTAGCGTTCCTCATTTTCGTAAATTACCTTTTACAACATTGCATTATTCAGCTATATGTATAAAGAGCTACGGTCAAGGCTTAAGGGCACACTTCCTGTCACATACAAAAGAAGCTTACTCTGAAGGTGGCCTGCCATTGACCCTCGCCGGGGACAAAGGCCGTTGCCCTAGCTACAGGCAGAGATCCTTACATAATACCTATTGTTCAGGGGGTTCCCCTTGAACATAGGATCCCCCTGATCAATAGGTATTACATGTACGTAAGTATGTAAGCCACTGGCTACAGAGTGTAGGGAACAGTTGCAAGCCGAGAATGAATAGAATAAGTGAATGGCCAACTGTCTTTGAGTTACGTTTAGCTAGCGGCACAGTGTCCCCCCACTTTTTCAAGTTCCCCCAAAGTGCCCCTTTGTATGTAGGAAAAGTACCTATTTTACTTTTATTTGACAAGTGTCCCTATTAATTTGTAAAAGTGCCCCTTCCCCTTTTCAACTCTGATAAGTGCTCCTTTTCTTTTGATACACACCCCTTTTCCTTCGACGAGTTCCTATTTTCCTTTACAATAAGTGTCCATGTTCCATTCTCATTAGTGTCCTTTTAATCTCTAGTAAGTATCCCTCTTTAAGTACGAGAAGTGCCCCTCTTCACTTTTTATAAATGCCCCCATCAACTCCGATAAATGCCCCTATTAAAATCTGATCGGTGCCCCTTTTCTTTCAACTAAAGCTTTTTTTTTTTTTATCTCTCTCTCTCTCACTCTCTCTCTCTTTCTTTCAATATCTTTCCATTCCCCCATATCTTTCTCGCCTCTCTTTCCCTCATTATGTTCCCCTCTTACCTTATTAATTTGTCTCTTTTCCTCTCCGTTTCATAGCCTTCTCATTTCTGTTAATTTTACTAGGTTTCGTCCTTCTTTTTTTTATCACTCTATTTCACTCTTTCTTTTCTTCCGGTCAACTTTTTAGTTTTCCCTTTTTTCTCTCTTTTTTTCTGTTTATCTTTATCGTGCCTTTCAACCCTCATTTTCCTTTTATATGTTCCCTTCTCCTCGTAGCTATCTTTTTTCCTTTACTATTTCATCTATCATGTCTTCCTGTTTCTGACGTTTTCCAACCTTGTCTCACGGATTAGTATATGATACATGTTAGTGGAAAGTGCTGAGGTTTATACACGAATATAAAGTACAGTAATTAACTGATGTACACTGAAGGTAAGTTGTGTATAAAGCAATTGGTGTAAGCAGGATAAGATTTAACGATTGTTGCAGCTTGTCGCATCGTTCTACCAATGCCCTTATAACCCTAATAACTATTTACACGATTACACGATTCAGAGCGACATTCTTCAATCGTGTAAATTTACACGATTACACAGTTACACGATTGTTACATCTGGTCGAATCATCCGACCATTGCACTTAACTATTTACACGATTACACGATTCAGAGCGACATTCTTCAATCGTGTAAATTTACACGATTACACAGTTACACGATTCAGGTGAATCGTGTAAACCGTGTAATCCTAAAAATAAATCGTGTAATCGTGTTGCGGAGATTTTCGGCGTGTACTGTATGTATAGAAATGTGATCTTTCTTTTACTTTTATTAATTAGACAATGTAGCATGGATCTGACTTACTCCAACTAGCCTTCCCAACAGCAAAAAGATATTTTCTACCAAAAGAAATACATTTGAAGGATAGTTATGTGAAATTGTCAGATCGGTAACAAAATAAATATATATATATAATGAAAAATATTAACGTTCCTTATATGATCTGACGAGCATTAATTTACCACAGCCCCCCCCCCCTGCTTACATTACATGATTAGCCGACACAGAAAGTAAAACGGTCCTAAACATATACACGGGGGTTATCAAGCGCTTCAGTTTGTTGATGCGGTAGAGGAGAGAAAGGCTTTTGTTAATAACGTATACGTATGTTTATCAAACATCAGTTCTTTCCTGAGACCCACATTTATGTAAAAAGAATGAGAGAATTATTCTCACTAATTTTTCCATGACAGAAATTGAACGTGACGATCACGGACCATCACTCAGCTGCGGAATCGTTCATGAAACACATGGAGAACGAGCAGCGACTCCGAGGAGGATGTCCGGCTGATTGGGTGTGGATCGTACCTCCCATCTCAGGCAGCATTACACCTGTGTTCCATCAAGAGATGCTCAACTACCAGCTCAAACCATCGTATGAGTACCAGGTAGGATGCGGTAACCATGGGGATAGGAGGTGGTCAGGGGATGCGGGAGAGATAAGGATGGATCGCATAGGGTAGCAATAGACAGATGTAAATAACATGGGGAGAAATGGAGATGGAGAGTATGAGGATGAAGAATAAGAGAATGATGATGCTGTTGATGAAGAAGATGTTGCTGACGATGATGATGATGATGATAATGATGATGATGCTGATGATGATGATGAGAAGGAAGAAGAAGAACAAGAAGAAGAAAAGAAAAGAAGCAGAACAAAATGGAGAAATGAAGAAGAAGATATTTCATGTAGGCTCTGGATCTTAGGGAGCTTTACTGTAGTACACAATGATGTAAAGTTTAAACATCCCCCAGCTAGATGCTCCCTCCCCTCTCAGTTTTCAAATAGTTTTGATGTTAAGAATCCCATCACGTGAACCTTCAAGAAATAATTGGAATGACACGAATCATGAGAACATTAACTTAGTAATGTATGAAGCGTACAAGTCCGATAGTTGTTGTTGTTGTTAAATTTGCTTTGCTATAAAATATATGTGTGTTGTGTTTGATAGGATGATCCATGGCCTACACACGTGTGGAAGAATAAAGATGGAGGGACAGATGACAAACCAAGAAGAAGAAAACTACTCACCTTCAAGCAGGTGGCCAAGTAAGTCCATAACTCATCCCACAACATTATCTTTCTGTGTGTGTGTGTGTGTGTGTGTGTGGGTGTGTGCGTGTGTGTGTTGTGCTCATCCTTTAAACAAAATCAGAAGTTTAATAATTGTATACGTTTAGATGTCGAAATATAGTTTAAAGCGGATGTTCAATCTATTTTAGGGAGGAGTGGTATAACTCCCTACGCTTGATATTGCAAAAGAAAAAAAAGTAGATTTAAAAGTTGCTGTTTTGAATGCATACTTTGTTAGATTTTGTCGTTTGCATTCAAGTACTTATTAGACATGCTTAATATATCGTTTATGAAAAACAATGATTAAGAAATAATCAATTTAAACTTATTTTCTGCATTCCAATTTATACCGACTGCACGGTAACCGAGACCATTAAACACCGAGAAACTACAAAAAGCCTTAAAAGAGATATTACATTTGTAGTCAATCACGACCAACAATCTACTTTACGTATTTTTTCTCATAAGTTTATTTGAGGTCGTAAATGAATAAGCCTTTCATTGATTTAAGGGAAGAAAATAAATGATGTGATCTCACATGATGTCTTTGACAGGGCGGTGAAGTTCTCGACTAAGATGATGGGTAAAGCTCTAGCCAAGCGAATCAAAGCTACTATCCTCTATGCCACAGAGACGGGCAAGTCTGAGAAATACGCCAAGACACTCTGCGAAATCTTCAAACATGCTTTCGACGCGAAGGTAAGGAGTTAATAAAATCGCTTGGTGCTTTTGAACAGGGTGATTCTGGGTAGGAAACCTCGTTAGATCTAGGCCTATACGTTTGTTCAATCGTGTCTTGTGATAAGGCATCACGTTTTTAAATTTCTAAAAATAGAATGGTTGAGTGGTTTTGAGCGTGTTATTCCAGGTTCGAAACCACGCTATAGACGATATTAGTGTCTTTTGAAGAAGCATTAAGTTTTTGACTTCAAGTGAGCAGAAATACAGATAGATAATTATTGAAAAAAGTAATTTCTAAACATTGTATTGAAGAAGGAAATGTCCGGATTCAGTCCAATTATAGGCGATATTAAACCACGCCTGACTGGGGATAGTTATGAATCATTCAGGTCTATTACTCTACTGTCAAATTACAATCTATTTAGGTTTCTACAGGTTTACAAACGCAAGAACAGCTACCAAACCATGAAGAAAAAACACAAGAAAATGATCGGAGGGACTTGACCTGGATTTTGACTAACTTTTGATATGTTTTCTGTCATAGCATAATGTGAAAGGACTAGTTAGACATAGAGGGATATGTTCGTTCGTTGACAAGTTTATTAGTCTCTATGGTAATAATGTAATAAACACTGAAAAGGGTATTGTAGCGCATATTAAGTAAATAGTGGGGTCATATACGATCATATTAAATCAAACATCTCGAAAACATGAACAAAACATTGACGTCATGGGAAAAAAGTTCGCGGAGATAATACACGATGTGTTTGCGTACTTTTGTGTGATTTATTCTCGCATATCAAAATATGACGTATTCCTGTTTACAAAACTTTCCTTCTGCCTGAGATAATGCGCTTGTCATTAACTGAGATAGAGAGAACGGGAGAGATATATATGTTTCGCCTTTGATCTGGGCTGAATATCAAAGAGATAATAGATCATAACACCTGTTTGAGGCCGTCTTTGGTGACAGATTAATGTTGTGGAAGTCACAAGGTAGTGACGTAGCAACAGGGGGAAACATATGGGACAAAAGAAGGGGGAAAGTAATTAGAAAGAAAGAAAGAGAGAGAGAGAGAGAGAGAGAGAGAGAGAGAGAGAAAGAAAGAAGAAAAAAGAGAGTGTGAGTGAAAGTGTGAGTGAACGGCAACATGACAAAAAGATGACACCACCACTCTCCACCCTCTCCACCCTCTCATCTTGGCGTTTTTATCTCGCAGTTTATTATATCTAATATTTCCAAGCCCCCCGGTCCATCAATGATACCAGTCTCCCCCCCCCCCCTCATTGGCTCAAGCCTCGCTACGCCACTATAATGATGCACTCTTTATTGTCACCTTCTTGACCTTCTGACCTTTTCACACGTAGAGATCCAAAATATTTATTTTATCTCGTCATAACAAACAAACCATTGTCTCATCGATTCTAAAGATATTTTTTTAGATAATCACTCGTTCTTTGTTATTTGGATTGATGCCCCAAGAATGCTTTGTTTTAATTTTCTAAAAGTGCAGCATGAAATGGAAATGGTCTATGAGACGATATTTCGAGTGTGAGAAAACTACCATAACTCGCCCTGTCCATTATGTTCATTTCTGTCATCTGTTGAACTTGGGGCCTTTAAATGTACTTCTAGTGTACTCTTCCACTTTTCGGCTATTTAGAAGTGGTACTGATATCTAAAAAACAAAAAACTTGCTATTTTCCCCTTCCGTCTTGGCATTACGAGGCACCTGCTTTTGACCATCAGAAAAGTTGTTAGATGTTATTCGTTTGACCGATTTAACTGACCCGATTCTTCTGCCTCATTTTTTTTCTCACGGGACTAATATGATTAGGCTAACCTTTGAGCTTGTGATAGCAGTATCAAAATAATTGATAATCGAAATTTCATTTCTCATTAATAACATGTGACTCAAGTGATACATTCGTCCTCTATATTGGTATGATGAATACAATTGTTCATAACATGAAAGAAAAACTAATAACATTTATAAATGGTGTTCCCGATATTATAAAAAAGTAAAATTAAGTTTGTCATGTAAATGTTACTTGCCCCAATTCCAATTTTAAGCCATCGGTTTGAATTTATTTGAGTAAATTTGAGTATTTCAACCACAAGTTGTCTTGATTTGTTATTTTTTTATATAAAATAATTTTAATGCCATTTTATTTTCCATTATTTTATTTTAACGATCAGGTGATGTCCATGGAGGACTACGACGTCGCAAACATCGAACACGAGTCCCTTCTCATAGTCGTAACAAGTACATTCGGTAACGGCGATCCACCCGAAAATGGAGAGGTATGAACACTGTGTAGACCTTTTCCTCTGAGGCACAATCCTCAACATTATTCGTTAATGCATTCACCTGTATAGTAATCAGAAGACAGGTTGTATACGTTAGATGTTGATATGTCGGGCGATTGCCTGAAAAGTATGACAACGATATGGCCTTCCAGTCTTGCTATCCTCAAGAGTATATATTTTTATATTCACCAGTAACTTTCAGATTTTAATTTGTATATATTAGTTGTTGGCAGACGTGAGCGCTATATGAGAAACCACTATTCTGATTATTATTGCTTTGTCGGGTAAGCTTCTAGCCATTGTAGTAGAGACAGTGAAGAATCCTAAGACATTTTTAGAGTGGTGGACTGTGTTTATGTACGCTCCAAACTTAAAAGTTTGTCGTGAAGCCTGCTTCGGTTTTCTAACCGTTCAGTACACCTCTATTCCGTATTTTTTTCATTGTTATGCTCTCTAATATTAAATCATCTCAATCAATCTTCCTTAATGTCCGTTCACTTTTCTCTAGGAATTTGGCAACTATCTCCTGGAGCTGTCCCGCGACGGATTAGGAGACGTACCCAGCAGGTAAATTTCTTTTCATTTTCATCGAAATTATTTTAAAAATGACCTGAATGCATGATACCTCCTTCCGAATTCATTGATATCACTTTCCCAACCTAAAATTCCTTTCATGATCCAATTATCCCTGCTATACGTTATATTCACTGATGAGGCACCACTACTGTTGAAGTCGATTAGATCATTTTCGTCCCTGCACCAATGCACTCTGAAGAGTCCCGTTTCGTATCCATCTTAAATGCACTGCTTGAGAGTCAAATGAAGATCGAGCTCGAAGCGACCATGGAAGCTTAATTAAAAGTCTTAATGATCATTAGGTAATATTTCAAGAAATAAGGTTATGACCAAATTTCGCTCGGAATCGTATCAAAATATAACTATCACGCAATATGTTGTATATAAGTGTAAGCATTGGTGTAATTAAGGCCTGCATATATAAGGAATTCCCCCTCTAATCTGAAATGAAGTAATCCCGTATATTAGTTGTGCGAAGTCAAGAAGTCGACATTAAAGTGGAAAATCTACATAATTAGCTAAGTTATTTGTATACCATTGGTTGAATGTCTGCAGCACTAATCTTTTTAAAGTTCAGTTTGTAGTGTTAAATGGAGGTTAATGGGCATCTTTAAATGACATCCAAGGTTGTTTGAAACTATGAGCATTAAAGACATCTAAATGTGCCTTGAAGGTATACCTTTGTATTTCATGTCCCCGCTGTCGTCTTGAATTATGTAATTACAATTTAATTACACTATGTAAGCCCAATCCCATTCTAGCCTAGACGTAACACGCTGGCAGGATATTTAGGTGATCTAAACATTTACAGTATATAGTTATGATAATTATTGAACGTAGGGACTGAGCTAAAACTATATTTGGTTTTTATGAATGTATTATCATCAAAATAATATTTCATATATTTCGTATGTAGATGGCAATATCTGATTCACTTCGTAGAGGGTGACTTTTTCCGAATCGGGTCGGGATTCCAGTACGAATAACGTGTATGCAGGCACTTGCATGAAGAAGAAAGAATGGCACCTGTACCTCCATTATTTGTGCCTACCCTTGATAATAATGATGACCACTAAATGCCCTACCTTATCAGTCACCCTCCTTCATCACCCCATTTCCCACTCCCCCTCCCTGCTCCTCGCTCCTCGCTCCCACGTTTTCATATTCCAACCCAAGATGGCACGCACAACCAGCCCCCCCCCCCCGCCCTCATCACCCCGCCCAGTACCGCACCCGCACCACGCCCATTTACATCAACCTTTCGTAGCGTACCCACGAGAGAAAACCTGTATGACACACACACACACACTAAGAAAAATTAGATTATCTTTTAACACGGAAACTATTGCAATAGCAGCATCTTCAGGGGGAGCAATATTGAAGACAAATGGGGGCATTTTAACACCGGAAAAATCCAATACTGCACCTGGGTGCAAAACTATTTGAAATGCATCCCATGTTAGGGGTCAATATTGCACCCCTAGCTGGTGTTACTTTTTGGACGTTTATAGTTTTCAGAGATGAACCTTTTTTTTTCTTAGTGTACGTGTACTTGTTTTGTTATTGTTTGTTTTATTCCCTCCACACTCACCGCCAATAAAATGTATTGTTTGCTACCTATTGTACGATGTAAAACGCAGAGAATCAGTAGTTGGAGAGGAAAAGGACTCGCGTAATAGAAGGTAAATTTGTTGTTATTTGAGTTCTAAGAGAGAAACGGGATGGTTCAGGGTCTGCTAATTCTGCCTTTCTATCTTGATTTATACTAACGCTTGCAAAAGTTGTGCTCAGCCTTTAATACCATTTGAGAAAAGAGGTCCATTTGTGTCTTACAAGACCATTAATAAATTGATATACTTTCTTAGATCTTAGTTGGTGTTGATGGAATTAATAATCCTTTACTCAATAAAGTTGTCTGACATTATTGGCTATAGATCATTAAAACAATCATTCAAATGTTAAAAAGAAGTGTCAAATGTTTGATATCATTCTAAAAAGTCCATTAATTGTACAATCCTTGCACTTCTCGCTTCACCTTTGCAAGCTTATGAACTTTTGTGTTTATATCATTTGCCACTCTCGCTGCTTTTTCACTAACCTTTTTTACGAGATATTGTAATTACTGATCAAACTAGATCATTAATATAAACTTAAAATAACATTACAAGCCTCTAACTTATCACTTCTTATATTAAAGCTGAAATATTTTACTTTGCTTTTTTTTTCCACTTTGCATCTGACTGTTTGTACACTGTATGTGAGTGGGTGTTATAACTTTGGTACATACATTGTACGTACAAAGTGGTTTCGGGGATAACTAATAATAATTTACAAACCTTGTGTCACAGATATTTCAGACTGATTGGGGCGATATATAAACTTATTCGTTTCCTTTTCTAGCGGTTTGTGATATTGCCTTATAAATGAAAAAATAATAATGAATACAAGAAGAATGGGACCACAATTTTGACAAATTGATTGAATGTTTGGTGTTTTATGTAAAGCCTCTGAGATTTCTTTATTTTAATCTCTTTTATTGGGCTGTGTATGTCTCTCTTGTGACCTCTTTATGATAGACCTTTTCTTCGCAATGGTCTCTAGTTGCCGAGTCCTCTTCACCAGTACTGCTTTGTGGCAATTTTTCATTCTGCTTAATATCCAGACTTGCTTCAAAAATTTGCTTCATAATTTGATCATAGTTGTATTATTGAATTAGTTAACTACGCAGTCAGTGAAGATGTTGGACTATCACGATGTCATTAATGACATCAACAAACATGATTATAATCCAACTATCCATTAACTATAATGTTTTTTATGCTATTTATTTTATCAAGAATTCTATGAAGTAATATGCAACATGTTTCATAAAAGCTACAAAAATAAAAAAAATAGCCACACAACCAAATAAAAATGGGAACTATAGCGTTTCCGCAACTATTTAAAGGCCCACTGCACTACTTGTAGCTACTTGCGCCCTCTATATAACAAACAATGACTAATCGGTGACCATTGGTCCCCCATGATCCTCTTTTTCTTATGTTAACTGAGAGCTGAGTTGATGAGATAACCACCAGTCCAGTGACCTTGCAGGGCAGTCTAATCCCTCCTATAAACTACGGCAGATAAGCTTTAAATAAAAATTGGGATTATCAACACAATTGTTCATTTGTAATACCTTCGAATATCATAATAGCAATTTCTAAATGGTATCATCATTCTAGCTCTGCTAAAAAAAGTACAAATAAAATGAAATAACTGACAAAATGAATTTGAACTAATTATTGGTACGTCATGAGAGTATTTCTCCAAACACCATAAACCTGATAAGTATACTACAAAGTACTGTAATAATGATTATACCTCGTCCTTTGTTTCGTCCAGTCTTCGGTCCATTCGCTTCGACAACAAACCGAACAAGCCGGTACACCGAGCCAGCTCCATGGCAAAACTGGATGAGAGCTCTGGAATACTTGCAAACGTCAGGTGAGCATCCCTCAGATATTAAACTTAAGTTGTTTCCTTTGTTTGTTTTTATTATTTTAGATTTTAGGTATCAAAACTCTAAACATCAATTTCGACATTTTTATTAGAGATAAATATTAAGAAGATACTAAACAGCTGCTGCCCCCCCCCCCCCTCATCATTCAGATTTTAATTTAAATTTTCAACTTGAGGTACATGTATAAGTAAATATCTTCAATTTCAGTCTTTCCTATACAAAACGTGATCTGAAGGTGCGGTAATTTTCAATTTCCCATCTAGCGCATTTTTGATGAGACAACTACAACTTTGGCTCTACTTAAACTGATTTGGATGTGTTTGAATGGCTCTTATTTTTGGTGTCCCTCTACAGGTTCTCAGTGTTCGGGCTTGGATCCCGCGCTTACCCACACTTCTGTGCGTACGCTCGCACGGTGGATCAACTGATCAGTAACCTTGGTGGTGAGAGGATCAACCCTATGGGTGAGGGTGATGAGCTAGGAGGTCAAGAAGATGCCTTCAGGAGATGGGCCAAGGAAGTCTTCAAGGTATGTCTTCAGGGTCTCTTCAGACCAGACCATTGAGTACCCTACCAGAACCGGCATAAGCGTAATCGAAAATAGACGTGCATCATTACTGCCTAAAGACCAACCCCTTGAAAATTCATCCACAGACAAATTACCCTAAAATTATTTCTAATGTGGTAATCGTCAGAGTATACTTGTAAAAATCCAGGAGTAGTCCTAATTATGAGGGAGTTTTCTTAAGGAGTACAAGTAATTGGTTCAGTGAGTAATATTCTTTTGTCTAAGGTTGTTGTCATAAGGAAATGGTTTTTGTCCAAAAGAGGTGGTTGTCCGGCCAGTTTTTGTCCTATATGGAGATGTGTCCTTAGGCTTGTTTATTAAACGCAGGTTGTTGTTCAAAGGTGATAATCATCACTTTAAGGGGTAGTAGCCACCCAAACTTACTCGAAAGCACTGCCAAATCAGTTACTGTCAATTCCTGATATTTGTTTCCACTTTCCAGGCGGGTTGCGAGGTGTTCTGTATCAAGGATGACGTGAACCTCAATGCAGCCAGTGAAGCCCTCAACAAGAACGAGAACAGTTGGAACACCCAGAGGTTCCGCGTATCTATCGGGGAAGAAACCGCCCTCAAGAGTGACGAACTTATGTCAGGACTATCAACACTACATGGAAAGAATGTCCTGCCGTGTCTCCTCACCGAACGCCTGGAGCTTCAGGCAAAACACTCAGAGTGAGTACCCTTTCTTTCTTTTAAAAAACACCAACAAAAATTGTTGTTAAAAGCCTGTGTAAGTCTTGATGTGTTTTGTTATATGTATTGGCCTTCCTATCGGAGAGAACACATAGACACACTGTGTAACATAGTGAGACACCATATGCAGATAAAGAGTCATACCGAGTAATACCACACGATAAATTGTGAACGATTCAAGTTCAAGTTCAAGTTCATTTATTCAAAAACAGTTTCCACCCTTAGTTTAAGCTTTTTCCCACTTTCAATAGGTATAAAGGTGTGCAGTGACTTTCATGTCATTATACCTCATTTCGGTTCGACCTTTAAGCATCCTCTTCATGTGTTTTCACAACAGACGATCCACGATCTTCGTGCGACTTGACACCCAGGGTGCCTCAGAGCTCCTCTACGAACCCGGCGATCACGTGGCGATCTGTCCCGCTAACAGCAAGGACCTCGTGGACCGTGTTCTCAAGTACATTGAATGCGAGTACTCCATGGACACTGTGATCAAGGTCGAGTTCCAAATGCAGAAACAGACCGCACTCGGTAGGTGGATAAAATGTTGATCATAGTTTTTCTGTCACGTCTCCGGCCCCTATCTCCTCGTCCTCCTCCTCTTCCTCCTCCTCCTCCTCTTCCTCCTCCTCCTCCTCCTCCAAACTCATCCCACGAAGCCCTAAGAGGGTGGCTCTTTTGGTGTTAAAACTTATCTTTAATCTAAAAACGTCTCCCTACAATCATACAGACAATTCTGACATCAGACCGACAATAAGACCAAACTTAAAGTAGTCACCCGAAGAATCTAAAGCATTTTGAATTGATGCAAAATGCATATCATTTCGAAGGGGAAGCCTTACTAATCAATTATAACAACTTTCCTCTTCAAAAGATGTTTTCTCCAGATCCAGATTTTCTGCCTTCGTCCTCCATAGAGTGTCAAGATTCGTGACGTCACATTCGAGACCCAGCTAGCCATACAATGGCATTTTACGCTTTTCCATATGATTTTTCAGCAAATCATTCGTGTTTTTCAAGAGAAAATCTTTCCATCCATATATAATTTTTCCATAATTTAATAGCAGTTGGCGTGAATTTTCTTCGGGTGACTACTTTAAATTCATTACCAAGAACGGCTAAGAATCAAAAGGTTAGAGTCGGTGTTAAGTTGGTTTGACGGTGTGACTGAAGTATCAATCACTCTTTTTGCCTAACCTGCGTAACTCTCCCTGAAATCTAATTGTCATAACACGTTTGCTGCAAAACAAGTGTACTCTAAAGCATCTTTAACATTTCGTTAACCAACTAAAGGTGGACCCCTCCCAGCCCCCCCCCCCTCCCTCCCCCTCTTACCGCAATTGCCTCATCGCCTTTTTATGATTAATGTTACATAAACCTCACAATTATGTTTGTGTTCTGTTTTGGCTAGGAAATGGAAAAGGCTTTATAATGTTTGTATTGCATACTACCTTTTGCATGTCTTAACCCCTCCTCAAATAAATAGAGCAATTTGTGTGATGCTTCATTGTTGTAAATTGGTTTAGTAGAAATGTTCCGCGCCCTTTAGATACTTATTCTACAAAAAATGTTTCGTTTTGTTTTGTTTTGTTGTTGTCGTTGTTTTTATTCCATGTCATGATTTTAACACAAATGAGTGCATAATTAGAAAAGCAGATACTAACTTACATTAGCGCTTTATTTGAATTAATTATTAGAATGCAAGAAAATCCGTGTGTATAGAATATCACATAGAATTCTTAGCGTGTGGATTAATAATTATATTTATTGCATTATAATCATGATAAGAGTGCAATAAAAAAATAACAAGTAACAAACATGCAAAACATATTCCGTTTACACCGAACTTACACATTTTAGCAGACATTTAACATCCCTAGTCACTACATTTTAGAGTGTTAGGATGCATATAAAAGTGAATAAAAATTGACGTTGTAAAATGTCCTTTGATGGAATTCGATAAACCATCTATATTAAACACAATTATAATATTTACCTGATTAATTTGCACCGGGAAAAGAAAGAAACATTTTCCAATACTTTCCGATGATTTTCGGAATAATTATGCATGATGCAAAGCAACATTTTTGTCAATTAAAAAACAACATCTACAAAATAGAAACCACCATTCAAACCATTTTAAAGTTGATTATCACCAACTAATCATTTGAATAAGAGAAACAAAAATCATATTGTAACTTATATTAATGAAAAAGCTTCAAGGTCTTAATTTCTTCTGTATCTGTTGTACGTATTCCCATTGCTAATAGTGTTAAACGCAAATAATACATACTGACGCTTTGTTTATGTGTATTCGTGCTAGTCGTGTATCAGTTAGTAAAGAAGTAGGTGTTGTTTAAATTTTAAATATTGCACGATACAGGGATGTTTTTCGATGAAGAAGTGGAAGACGGTAAGTAAAGAGAGCAGAATTAAATATTCCATTTCATTTCGCTCATAAAATATATTCCATTCATATCCATATTGTCAAATTTCCATTAATTAATTCATTCATTCATTGGTGTTTTATTGTGAAATTAAAGTCAGAGTTGCCACGAGACCAAGAGTGACGAATTCAAAGCTTAAACTGTTTAAGTTATGTGATTGTTAACAAGTTTTAAGCCTATCTGTACTAGTTTGGCCAGGAGGGATTAGAATCCTTAGACCTCCCTGCATGGTCACTGACAGGTGGTTATCTCATCAAATCAGATCTCAATATTTTATTAACATAAGAAAAAGGGGACCATGGTAGATCAACGGTCACCGTTTAGGCATTGTTTGCGGGATTTATGGGGTTTTAACAAAATGGTTCTTGTGGCAGATTAGCCGTTTGCTAAACGAGCTATCCAATAAAGTCTTCTAATACTACTTCTACTACAAATTATAATGTTTAATATTCATAAATGTTTTGAGATGTGATGTGTATTCATACACAATTTCCAGATTTATATCGATTCATAGAATATCTAACATCAAAATAACAATTAAATATTTTCTTAACAATATTTGCTCAAGCAGGTCTCATGTGGTTTGTTCAGATTGGTATATGTGTTAGTTGTTGGTCATAATATATATATAGTCACATGTTGGGGGTGATAAACCGAAATGATCAGTAAATAATTCCTGTGTAATAGCTTAAAATTGTGTTTGTATACCTAACTTATTTTAGCGCTATGAGTGATATTTTTGTCAGAAGTGCTCTACAATTAATTTGTCATTATTATTATTATTATGAAACTTACTCTGTGATCAACGAATGGTTCGCAATTATCCTCTTGCTAAGACTAAACATTAAGCCTTTAAAAATATATATAATGGATTAGATATTTCCATCTACACAAATTTATACAGACACAACATAATGTTACACTCATAACCGCACTTTGAAGTATATACACGCAACTAAAACCCACATAACTACATCAATCGCACTAACACATAATACACATTCTGCACAAATACATTTGTCAACTTTGAAATCAACATGTATTCGCCAATATCACCAATATTTCAATATGAATTAGAAACCTATTATAATTTCTAAGAATTACTGAAGCCCTTGTTTAAGTTAATAGGAATGTAAAACAGCTTTATAGTACCAACTATTAGCCGCAATGCAATAAAAGATCTGTACATGTTATGAAAACAGAACAAAGGTACAATGGATTTGCATCAAATACAATGATATTAATCGCAACTATACAAGATATCGTAAGTTTTCGATTGATTGAAGAACTTGGTATTGAAACGCATCAATGACAACTTTGTATATATAAGAAAAGACTCAATACATTTTGCTTAAAGGTAAAGACCGGTGGTGGTAAGATTGCGGTTCAAGGGATTTGGGTGCAAAATATTCATTCAATATTGTTTAAATATTGCCTTCAGAGGTTTAGATGGCAATACTTCAACCTAAATTCGCAAAAAGCAGAAATATATGCCCAAATGTTCGATGTTGAATTGCATTCGCGATATCCAGGCCGGATCAATATGATAATTTAACAAATATATTAATTTGCAGGCGATTTCCCGGCAAAATTTGTATCATCACGTATTTAGTTAAAACATAATTGTTCACATGATTGGTAATAAGAACTTCCATTTCATTTTTTGAGAGAGGGGCGTTTCGAAAACTGGTCTATACCTATAATGCCCGCTGAACACCATACCATGCGCATCATGTTGCGGGAGACTCCGTCAAGAACTATAGTGCGATCTTGGGCGCGAAGTTTAAGAGTTACATCGTACTAAAAGTGAATGCAAAACAAACATGCCAACATTGCGTTGAGAATCACTGACGTAATGCAGGGTTTGATGAGCGTTGGTAATAGCGTAATCGAAATGACGCAATCGAAGTGACGCATAGTTTGTGCAGCGGGCAATGCATTTCTATTTCGTCAACTTTTCCGTCTGATAACCTCTTCCTCTTCTTCCTGCAGGTGTGATCAAGGCATGGCACGACACTGAACGCCTCCCGAAAGGCTCCATCCGAGAAGCTCTCACAAACTACCTGGATATCACCATACCCCCAACACCAGACTTCCTTCGTCTTCTATCAACTCAAGCTACTGATAAGGATGAGGAAAATGCTCTAGCTGTCCTCGGGAAGGTGAACAGATTTTCTCTTCTTATAATTATCCTTTTGTTTTCCAAAATTGTCGCAATGTATTTAGCCTTAAATGTGCATAACATGATTGTATGAACATTACAATGACGCAATACATAATCCGAACATGGTTTCTATTTGCATCGTTTTGGAGTGGAAAGCGACGCGCAAATCGTAAAATCAACCCTAAAGTGGATTCAACCATAATGTGGAGGGGATTCAACTAAAAAACTAAGTTATACATAATTATCCAACATGACTCCTAAATGAGTGGATTCCCACTCTTGTGCTTTAACACTATATGAGTGTTAAATTGAAATAAAAACATCTTTCTTTCCTTCATGTGCAGGGCGGCAGCAACTACGAGGTATGGAAGTACGAGCATAGCCCGAACCTTCCCGAGGTGTTCGAGCAATTCCCCTCGGTCAAGATCAGTCCTAGCTTCCTACTGACCGAGCTGGCCATCCTAAAACCACGATACTACTCCATCTCATCAAGTCCCAAGATGTTCCCAGGAGATATTCATGCAACCGTCGCCGTGGTCGAGTACAGAGTCAGAGGTACGGGGTGAATGGGGGTTGTTGTCACAGTCGTGGACCTTGTTTCACGAAACAAAACTATCAAAAACAAGTTAGGATAACTGATACAAGCTACGAAAATAATTCAGTTTGATTGGTTTTGAGATGATTTGTTATGGAATGTTGGCAGAAGTTTTTCGCAACAAGTATGATACAGGACCTTGGTCATTTCTGTTGCAGTTGTTGCTAGAAAAGATATACATGATCCACGGTTGAACACGAAACAAAATGAAACTACTTATTGATCCAAATTGTAGAGGATTATGAAAACTGATGTGATCTCAGCAATAAAAATGATTTGAAATATACGCAAGTAACAGAAATATAGTATCAATTATGGCAAAAATTTAAACTTTTTTTCTTTGTGAATGCAGGCAAGAAAGGTCCTATCCATCGCGGTGTGTGTTCATCATGGATGAACGAGCTGGATCTGAAGAAGCCTATGCCATGCTTCATCAGACAGTAAGTCAAACTATTGATGATAATATAGTGATCAAATTATTGTGATCATGATACGAGATAGGAAGAAGACGTGTATGAGCTTGAAGATGAAGGATCAGATGGATGTTAAAACTTAACCTGTCTATTACGTCATTTCGCCATAGGAACACAGCCAAATGGTCACTGCAGACGGGTCACCTTTCTAGTTAGGTTCTGCAACATACATTCCTTGCTGGAGGTAGAGATAATGCAGCTGACCACTATAGACAGGTGACCCTTGTATAGAGGTGACAACTGAGAGCGATGTTGATCTCACTCAGTTTCATAAATACGATCAGTTTAACTTATTAATAGACAGCTCCATACGTGTCGCAAAATATTAAAAAACACAAACGTCAGCATCACGTTCCAGTGACCTAGAAGCTAGTAATTCATAATGTTACAGGTAATAACAAGTGTGTGTTTCCTGCTTTACCTAGTGCACCAACATTCCATATGCCTGAGAAACGAGACCAACCTCTCATCATGGTCGGACCCGGCACCGGCATCGCGCCTTTCAGAAGCTTCTGGCAACAGCGACAGATCGAGCTACGCTTCACCAAACCGGAAGCGGAAGACGGTCGTAAGATCCTCGGTGACATCACACTCATCTTCGGCTGTCGTGGGTCAAAGGTCGATGATATCTATCAAGATGAGAAGGCGATAGCGACCAAGGAAAGGGCCATCAGTAACAACCTGACGGCGTATTCCAGGGAACCCAACAAGAAGAAGGTATGTTTGGATGCTCAATATGCAAAGAAGATGGTGGATCCTGAATGTCTGCTCTGAGCATCTGACAAGCAGCGTTCTTGTATATGATATTAACATACCTGTCTTAGATCACAATTTTGTCATAAGCCACTGTCTATGTTTTCGTGTTTAATAATTTTACTCCCCCAAAGATTTTATCTTGACCACGTAGGGTCACATGACTATGATTCGGCTTACCCCGAGTGGTGTAGACTCATGTATTTGAAAACTTGAACATACAGTGATGAGAAACCGGTCCAATCAACTCGAAACTGACAAAGAATTCTGTTAATTGCCATCAAAGAAAAATAACATATTTATATTAATGTTTCAAATTCTTCTTGTCGTCATCATCGTCCAGGTGTACGTGCAGGATATGATGCAGGCGAACGGCAAGTTGCTCTACGAGACCGTCTGCAAGAACGAAGGTCATTTCTACGTCTGCGGAGACGTCTCGATGGCGGCCGACGTCGGATCCAGGCTCGAGCACATCCTGGCCGAACAGGGCAAGATGTCTCAGGACGAGGCTCATGATTTCGTTGCCAAAATGAAGGTAGGAATATAGTTTTCTCAAGAGAGAACAGCTTCTCCATTGTGTCTGATGAGTTATCTGATTCAAGTTTGCTGTCCATTCCTTGTGAAACCTTATGCTGCTTATGCAAGAAATCTCACAGGCATATAGACAGGGAATGTGATTCACATCAAGAAATTTAGAATAATGAACATTTTTAATATGGGAATGTAACCTAGAACGATGACCGATCAAATAAATAGCCGATCATAATCATTCTAAATAAATTAGTAAAGACAAATTAATTTGCGATTAGTAGTTTCATTTATATAGTAGATCTAGAACTGCATCAAAAGTACCAACTATGTGAGCAAAGACACCTTTGTGGTCCTTTCTTTAAAGGTATTTATCTATTCAAATCAATCAAAGCTTATTCAATGCACATTTTAACATTAGCAGGTTTTGTAATCAATATAGATCAATCGCAATTATTTATACTTGGGCTTTGCAACTCTCCCTCTTTACGAGCTTGAGTTCATAACAAACATTTTAGCAGCACATGTATGTATGCGAATTAACACTTATTACTATCAAGTATGAGCAGGGCTATATATTATTACAACGGATGCAAAGAAAATCCTGACACACACTCTCTAAGAATGTCATGTTTCTTATCCTCTCCTCCTAAGGATTCGAATCGGTACCACGAAGACATCTTCGGCGTGACGATCCGGACAGCTGAGATACAGACAAAGATAGAGAGAGCAGCCCGCCGCGCACAGGTGCTCATCACAGATAGTAGCAACAAGCTCACTCCGGCAGTCAAGCCATTCGAAAACGGCAACGGGTCGATCTCCGCACGGAGCTCCGATGATATCCGATCTTTGAATAAGGTAGGAGGAGCAAGAACAAAGTGATGATCAAGCGATCAGCTATCCTCCTTGACAAAACAGACTCTTTTCTATCTTTCTTTTGCTTGGAATGACAATGATTAAGATGTGTAGAAAAAACGCGGGAATAGGAATGCCTATACTTTTTTTGTCGCGTCTTTTCTGCATGATCAAAACATGACTTGTTTAAATTGGTTCATACTTTGTGAATATTTCTTTTGTTATTTGGTGTTTGTCGTTGTAATGGTAGCATGGTTGTAAAGTAAGATTGCTACATAGGTATTGTTCAAAACTTTTTAAAATGGAATTAATTTGATTTGCTTATCTTGATAACTGCACTGGTGCTTGATTTCACGAAGATGTTTAGCCGACACAGGATAGAAAGGATGGGTGTAAACCAAACAAGCTAATGCTCAAGCCGTGATTTATAGCAATAGTTAATCTCTCTTATTCTGACTAGTTCTGAATGAGAAATTGTCGCTATTTACACGTACAAAAATAAATTAGCACACGTCCAACGAATGACATAACTCAATGCACCAAACTCACGCTGCAAAATACAACGTTGCAATAACTTGCAAATGCTAGTGAAAAATATAGATGGTAACATTTGTTGATATGGCAGAAAGAAAAATGAGGACTCGATGGAGTTTCTTAAACTGTTGTTAAATGGATTGTATCTAAATGATAATTTTTAAAGGGAAGCTTTTGCAGAGGAATATAATATTTTCATGTTTTCCAGAGACATTGTCATTTGTATTCATTGTATTATAATGTTATACTAGATAAAGAATGTAAAAATAGTAGAGTACAAAATGACAAATAAGTTTATTTTGTGCACGATATGTATGTTGAGCAAGAGTATGATAAGCATTGCATGATTGTAAAATTGTTGACCAGTCAAATATTCTCTTTATCAACAAATGTAAGATTTTCATTTCATTTCAATTCACAAGAAAGTATGTAAAAAATACCTGTGCTCTTTTGTAACTTATCATGTATTACATTTAACATTAACAAATTAATGTACAATGTGTGTCGTACAATGGAACTGCATTAAAATCGTCATTTGAAAGAAAAACAAACTAATATAAGACAACAAAAAAGTTATGATTATTGATTCACAAAATGCATGTATTTTTTTAATCTAAAAAAATTTGTTTCTGTATTTTCTATTCAGTTTTCAGAGCAGATCCGTTTTACAGTTTACACACAACACTGCATATTGCAGCATGCAGGGTTTTCCCATTTCTCTTTTATTTTCCATTAACGCATCGTAGTTGAATGTATATTACAAGACCAAACATTGGACAATATTGATGGAATGAGAACGGTGTTTGATTGAATAAGAATTGATCAAAATGGGGTCAGTAAACTTTGCCTTCCTCCACATGAAAGATACGCTTGTCAAATCCAATTCACTCGAAAAGGGTGTTTGATCAGGGTTTTAATGAATGTATTAACGAAGAACAAGATTTAAATGGATTTTATTTAGAAAAGATCAAATCTTTGGGTGTAAAAAAGTAGGAACTCAAATGGTTATTTTTGAATACTCGATTAGAAATTTTAGGGTCTTTTGATGTGTGAAATAATTTCACGGTTCATTGAATGTATGACTGAATGTTGCATCTTGATTTAATGTATTCAAAACTTCTGTAGTTTTCTCTCTATGTATATGATATTACTGCATCTTGGCTGTATAGTAGAATTATTAATATATGAATGCATTGGTTGTATTAATATGACGAATTTTCTACTGCATTGTACTCTATAATATACGACTTAAAAACAACTATGTAAATATTTTTATTGCATCTATTCAACTTCTTTGCATTGAAATATAATTTTCATTTTTCTTTCTTACCTTCATTTCATTTTGTAAACAACCAATTCTTAGCATGCCCGCATATATTCGTCTAGTCTCTCTATAAGTTCTTGCTACAAAGAGGTATTTATGAACCTGCATTTTAAATCGATAATTGTCTGGTGGCTAGTGTACGCAGCTATACACAAAGAATATTTCTTTTTAAAAATGTCAACGATCTATTGCATGTATACGTAGTAATGATCACTTGCTTATCTCAATCGTCTCTACAGTTTCTCTCGAAATATTTATTTGTACTTATTCCATCTGCTATTCAACATTCTCATGTTAAACTCACGACTTCTTTCTCACTGCAAAGCACGGAGCATACACGCCATCGCTATAGCATGCCTTTTAAGCAACACTTCAACTAAAACAATGAAAGTACTCATCTATAATTATACAGATTGTCTATTTCTCATCTTGCTTTTGTCTTCAAAGATCATGATTTCACAAATCTCAAAAACGTTGTATCAAAGTCCTGTTGATCGTATAATGTTCAGTGTAATATTTATGATACGCCAGCAGTATTTTTAAGTGTAAAAAAGAGAGATTTTGAGAATTAAAGAGGACTGGACGTCGTGATTTTTGTCGAAAGGATAATGGCGGATTGAAGGCACCTAATAGCGACTCACCGAAGGGGAGGAGAACGACGAGGAGATCGATCACGGCTACCGTGCTTATGTCTGAAGAAGATCTCACCAATCTCAGGAAGATGGCCGAAGCAGACGACACACCCAGGTGAGTCAATAAATTATTTAAAGCTTCCTATTCTTTGAGAACAGAGAGTAACTTAAGGGAGAAAGTGAGGCGTTGGTCATTTGGGAAATCACAAATTGGCCCCAAAACATTTCAAAATTACTTTAGGAAGTTTGGAAATTATGTCATGTCGCCAAAATGTTTCGAACAAAAATTTCCATTTGTCAAAAGTCTTGAAAAACAATACTAATTTAAAAAAAAAAAGTGGAGTTCAGGTTAAATTTATTGAAATTCTCTGCGAAAAAAAGGTCATTATCTTTCTAAATTCTAGTGTTGAGACGGCGCGCACTCAATTTCATATTTTTATTTATTATACCCGAATTAAGGGAATATAATTTATTATCGGACGTTTGTTGAATTAAATTTTTTATTTAAATACTTGCATTGTTTATAGTCCAAAAGTGTCGTATTTACTTGTCAGATGTGAGTTCAGATCTCATGTGCACGCTTCCATTTCATTAATATCCCATTTTTAATGTTGATACTTCATTTTTTTATGTTATGAAAACTGCACTAGCACCACAAAATCATTGGTGGATCCAGGGGCACGTGCCCCCTCCCCTACCCCTTCCCACGGCACTATCCGATTAAGTACACATCATAAATAAAGGAAAATGTGTCTTCCAATCGAACTCGTAAGCAATTGAAACTCCAAATGTCAGAGGATTTTTTAATTACAAAAAAAAAGGTACCCCAAATTTGTATAGCCTCTCATTTTGGAGGATGGGTTGGAGAATTTTAAGAGTTGTACTCCAGCCCCTGCCACCCCCGGATCCGCCACTGATATAAAACACAAACCGATGACACGTCCATGAATTATTGTATAACAGTGAATAATAATAAATTAAATATATAAGCGAGGCTTGCCGATCCCGTTTTCATGTCGAGGTGGAAAAGTTTTTTCTGAAAAGCTAATAGGATAGAGGTTGAGCTCAATTTTCTACAGGAGAGCTTTTTATGTCATGCTAAAAACATTTTTGATTTAACCATTTCCTCTCCTGCTTACGAGCAGTTTGACGATCGCAAATGTCATCAAAAGTTTTCGTATAAACGTGGAAATGGCTAATTACAGAAATTGAAAAATCCTGTTTTTTTTACTCTCATTTTAAATCCTTCGCCCACATACGTCGTGAAATAGGAATCGGCAACCGTGTTTGTTAAAGAGCTTTAGCTGCACATATAATTGTTCATATCAAATTAAGCACTGCAATACACTTTCATGTTTGTACTATTTGATATAATCGTATGTCATATTCAATTCATTGATGTTTCGATAAGGTTAAACACAATAACATTGTGCTGGATGGGTAAACGTTTATTTTCTTATACTCGTCAAACGTTTAAAGGTAAAGACCAGTATTGGAAACGCCGCAATTTCAAAAAATGAAATGGAAGCTCTCATTACCAATCATGTGAAAGAATATGTTTTGACTAATACATGATGATAAAAAATTTGCCGGGAAACCGCATACTAGTTCATATATTTGGTAAATTTGTTTCTCTCATGGTCTGTGAGAGATATAGGGTAGTCCCATATACATCTTTCTGTGTATAGTGCTTGTAACTTTACGAAGAATGGGCCAAATTTCTTATTATTTTGATGATTCCAGAACCTTGCAGATGCTAGATGCTAGATGATCAACCTTTTCTGATCGATTCCACAACGTTTCTTTCACAATGCAATCGCATGACCAGAACTGGTCTTTACCTTTAAGACTTATCGAGCCTGAAGCGTACCGGTAGTTGTTTTGAGATTATTGTATCATATACTGATAGTCGATGCCTCATTAACCAGCTCGTTATACAATCTACAGATGAGCAGGCATAGGTCATTTATTTAAAATTTAAAATAGAAGTATTCTTTTTGGAGTGGACTTTAAAAGATTATTATTATCATTATTATTATTATTATTATTATTATTGAAAGGGTAAACAGATATAATTCATGAAGGATCTTTTTCTCTTTGGGGTGATTTTTTCTTTCTAAAATGTGAGTAGTGGTCTCTCAATATGGCAAAATATATGAAGATATTTTGAGTCATTTTGTACCTGACCCTAACCTACTGCATCCAGCCATCCTATGTATATAAAAACGATTATATCATGTCGAAGAATCTAACATTATTTCTATTTGGCTGATCTGATTTGTAGGAAGGATATGAGCAGCCACAGCGACGGCGGCATACCGAACGGCAACGCCGCAAAGCACTAAAAATTCAACGACCACAGCAGCTGGACTTCTAAAGTTAAGCCTTCACAATAATATTGATAGGAAGAGTGTGCATGACATTTGATGCATCAATGAATCTATACGATGTCGATGGTGACAATTATGAGGATGAGGATATTATTTTTGATGTCGACTTTGATGAAGACTATGAACATACGGCGGAACGTTTGTACAACTTAGACGCGTCGCGACGACATGAATGCTCGACTGCATGACTTGTCTTAATCTGCAGACAACTAACCCGTAAATGACGTGAAGGGCGGTACATCGATACATGAAAACTGATTTTAGTTGTAAACTTATTGGGTCAAATTCTGCAAGATGATTGGACAGACGACGTCCAGTCCCTCTTGATTCAAATTAATGTGATGTTCTGAGAAAGAATAACAACAGTTATGAAGGACGTCATCGTTTCTGGCGAAATCATTACTCGTTTGGAATGTATGTTTCCTGGAAGTTATATTGAATAACCATCGTTATCTGTGGAGATACTAACAAGAGAGTCGTTATTAGTGTACATGCAATAGATCAGACATTTTATACCTAATGCGTGATGATACTCTATTACTCTTTAATGTTTGTATATAGACGCATGTTTAACCTTTTTGAACACATCGTGGACATCGTGAGTTTAGGAATAATTGATGACCAGTTTGTTGTGTTTTATAATCTGTGCGGTGTATATTGTATGCAATGGAATGCCTTTTTGATTACGCACTTTTAGCACGTTTTTGTTCGGTTTTCTTTTCTTTTTCATTTTTCGTTCTTTTAAGTGTTAGCTTTTAATCACAGGACATTGTATATTGTAATATTAAAATGTGGTATATCTATGTGCATAATATTTTAAGATCATTTTTCTGTTTATAATCATGTTAATTATTATTCAAAGAAGTAAGTAGAGAAGACAAATGTATAATAGTATATTCATACGTGTTTAAAGAGTTTGACGTCGGTGATATACATATTTAGAATAAGATGTGGATAGCAGCTTAAATTTGAATAGTGTGAGAAATATTCTATGTATAATTGTGATAAACCTGCGTGAAATAAAAATATTGCAATGTGAAGTGGAAAAGATTGTGAAAGTTCATAGGGAAGATTTGAATACATTTTAATCATGACTATCGTTTTGGTTTAGAAGAAAGCCATCGTCAGAAATATGCAAATATGTCATTCTTTATTCCAGAAATGTTCTACCAATGCTTTTTTTTCGATAACTATCTGTTGTTTAAATAGTGAGTTGTAACAGTAATAATTTGAATGTCGAAGTGATTGTGTATGAGTTTGTTATACAGTAAGTAAAAGCGACTTCAAGAGATGAGACAGCAATGTCTATGTTGAGTTGGATGATAAGACAAAACGAAGTTATCTGTTTTAAGATTATTGTACATACGATGTGCTTTTGAAATGATAATAGTCGAACTATTACTTTATTTTGCTGTGACTTTAAGTTATGCTATTTAGGCCTATGGCGTATTGAGTAACTATGCGAAACGAACAAAATTATATAATCAAATATATTTATCCAGTGTAAATAGGTTTAATAAACACTTGTTATTTAATGTTCTGAGGATTTTGGAAATTCATATATTTATATGTCATATTGTATTATCGCCTTTTATTTAAGTTTGTTATGTACTCAGCAGAGGTCAAGTGTCAGAGGTCATAAAGGTCATACATTAAGTCAGAGTTGAATGTTTATTGGGATTTATAGTTAGCGATGAAGTGCAATATTCATGGTACATGTATTTCATAATTATGATGAGTGCTTTGTAGGGTTATTCAATAAGAAAGATATCATATGATGTGTTTGAAGTTTATATTTAGTTTCAATCATGATACTCCATGATAACCCTTTATCATATTTGGGAAGTACACCATTTATTACCGTTAACATTTTATATACGGAAATCATGCTTGTATTATTGTAATACGTTAAAGATTTTACTCTTTCTATTGAATGTAACATTTATTTTTATTTTGACACTATATACCATTTGTCATGTTAAGCAAGATAAGAAAGATATGTTTGTTCGAAAAAAAAACTTACCTCTGAACAAATCCGTTTTCGGACCTGATTTTTCCCGATGATGTTTTAATATTGTGTATGAGGAAAATTAAACTATATTTAACGTTTTGTCCCAACTGACTCAGAAATCTAACCCCAGATTATTTATGATTTAAAAAAGAAATGTATTGGAGAGTTCATGTAATGGTTTGAAAGTAGTCGTGAAGTAATGAGTAAAATTGAACTTTTTAGATAATTATTAAAAAAATGTAAGAACATCTTGGCTACGATTATTTTTTTGATGGAAATTTGTCGGAAGAAAAAAGGTAGAAAAATTGCTGACGATTATCGAAACATTATTCATCGGCTAAACATTTGTACTACTAGTAACCTGTAAGATTTGAATTGCTCCTTTTCTCTGTCATTATGCTAGCGTGTGAACTGGTTACATCTATTTATTACGCATGCGCAGCAGGAGGCGAAAGACTCTTCTGCTCATCCACCGACAAGTTTCTCCGTGGTCAATTTCTGTTACCCCATACCCATTATAATTCATGCCCTTTATAACCCTTCATCTACGGCGAAGTAGATCAGAGGAAGCATTGGTCGCCGGTGCATTACGTTGGATCATTAATCAATTATGTAAATGTCGCGTCTTTCAAAAGCATTTGAACAATCATCGAGGACAATCATTCATTCTTTTTGGAATTGAAGTGCTTATCGTTGTTGGTTTTGTTTTCGGAGTTAATCATTATCCAGTATGTTCATTTCATACAGTGTTTATAAAAGGAAATGGACCAACTTTATTGAGTATTTTCGGTGTCATTCATACATTTCTTAGTATTGAAAATAGAGAGATCACTTGTATAATCATATGTATACAATTAAGGTATATTTAAAATTCAATTGTAGTGTATGTCCTCTAGGGTTAGACATAGCAGACAGTAATGTTCGAGTATCATCAAATTATTATCACAGAAAGCGAGATAAAATTATACTATGTTACTATGGTAACTAAACTACTTGTAAATAAAGTCGTAGCGAGATTTGGAAGAGAGATATAAGCTGATATGAAGAAGCAAAGCACTGTGTGAGGTTTGGATGGAAGAAGAAGTCTTAAAAGTCGTTTCTGTTCTTACAGCTTGGCAAGATATGTTTTGTACAGTGATTTGCATAAAAGGTACAAAGGTTATTGCGCATGCGCTTGTGTTTTAAACTTGACTTGTTATCTATTCATCTTATTTACCTTATTAATATGTTATCCTAATTCTGGTATGTTACACTGTTTTTGTTTTGGTTTCTCGACAAACAGACACGTTGTTGTTTTAAAAAATAAAATATCGTGAACGGGAGAAGAAAAAGAATTAAAATAAATAATTGAACTAACTTCTTTTGCATTATTTCCTTTAAACTTTGGACCTGCTGTAATTACGCACAGCCAAATCAGATATCAAAATACATGATACAGAGGTAATATTCAAATTAAGGACCCTCTCTTGAGGTTTACAAACATTTCCATTCCGAATGTTCTTAAAGATGAGTCACTTAAGAGGAGCATTGAAGATATACATATTTAATTCAAAGTCAACTATAGCAGTGAAGGGCTACAAGATTCCCATGTGCACTAAAACAAAAATGTATCAAAATAGATCTGTTTACTAATATATTGCAATTTATTGATGTTTATATCAAGATTCAATGGTTACTGACTATTTCATTTACCTACTATAAATAATGAAATCTCTATTGATGGAATTCATTTTGCATACATTAGTTGTTATGCCGGGAAAGCCTCTGGCAAGCTTTTTAGTTGTCAAGAGCGTTTTTTGTTCAAAAGGTATGCAAACAATTAGCAAACAGGTCTATTGGTTAGTAAATGGAGAAATATATCAAGCGAGCGTTGTGCCGGGGCAGAGTAGTTATGTGAAGGTACCTGTACTAACTTAAGAAATATATTATGCTACTTAAGAACGTTTGTATTTATCATGTTACATTTCTGTTTATACTTTTCTTTATGTGGAAAATATCGTTTGAATTATTTTTAGATTTATTGTATATTTTATATTTTGTGTTCCTTTTCATTTGCTGAAATTGGCTATTGGTTTTGTACTTTGATTTTTCTTTTGATTTTTAAATGTTACTTATATCGTTTCACCAGGCATCTGGGAAAATATTTTTTTGCTCGTTTCCAAGATTGTTTATTTGTAGTGTATTCATTCAGTTTAATTTCAGAGGGAAAAAAAGATTGTAAATTGTTTCTGAATATGTTTTGATTATGTTCTTAAGTTATTTATGTTGCGCGGATGTATTTTTTTTTCTTCAATTTTATATCATGTAAAGATGACGTAATGCCTTCGAGCAGAAATGTGAAATCCAGGGCGATAAAGGTCAGCATAGAACTCTACATATAGTTTTTTTTCCATATGATCTTAATTCTTCGTGTATTATTTCTAAACATTCTACTTAGCAAAGTGTAACGTAGATGCATGATGTTGTTATCCTTTTTCACTTGATTATCGTTCATAATTATTATCGTTACTGTTGACAATCATGTAACCATACCCCGGCTTTCTTTAACGAATGATCAATTGATTGAGAATGGTGTAAACAAAAGGTTAAGTGGAAAACAAAAATAATTACTTCTGTAAAATGCAACGTGTGTCACTGCAGTGAGGAGATTATATTAATTAAAACAAAAACAGGTGTTCTGTGATACGAAAGAAGATGGATATTGTGTTTTTATTTTGTCACTGATATGAAAGTGTTGTTTCTACTTTCAAATTCAGGCGAATATCGTAATATTGAAGAAAAAGTCAAGGTGATGATTGATAACCCCGCCCCCCCCCAGTTCAACTTGTTATCAGATTCACATTTGACCTTTAACTCATATCCATCAGAAGTGACTCTTTTAAATTAGTATGAGTAGTCTCAATACCAGTCCACAAATATTTTCAAAATATATCTAGCCCCTTCCTAAGTCTATCTTTTCATTCATGTCTTCATTACTATTTTTTCAATTGTTCTTTCATCTCTCTTTTTGATAGGACGGAGTCTTGATTCTTAAAATGAAACTAGGAACAACCGGATGCAATTATGAATAAAAGCCCCCCCCCCCCCCACAACAAGACTTTTCTTTCTCTCTTTCTATCCATTCATTGTGGGTGTTGGTGGATGATGGAAATAAATTTGCAAACAATTATAAGGCATTAAAATAAGACTATTCGGCAGAAGAAAAATGTGGAAGATTCTGGATGCTAGGTCGGTGCACGTGGCTGTCTGTCTGTTGCTTGTTGCATTTGTTTTGGATATTTATCGGATTTTCACGGGACTTTCCATACTTTCGACTCTAGTTTCAGATAGGAAATGACTTGCTAAAGGTAAGCGAACATTTTGGGCTCATTTTATACATAATTCTGCACCATAAATAAGTTAACAAATCAAAGTAGATTTAAATCTCCCGCCGCACGCGGCGCGGACCATGAACTCCGACGACTCCTCACTTAACGCTATGGCAGATATTGATTCAGGCAACCAAGCCAAAGATTTAGGAATAGAGCTAAAGGACGGATTCCAGACAGTCACGTCTGCAAGTGTTCGAAGAAAAAAAAGAAAGATACGTGAAGGAAGTATCAATGTTGAGAACCTATCACTAAAAGAGGATTCGTCATCAGATAATATGGAACCACAAAACTCAGTATTTCGTAACCAAAATCCAGTAATTCTAATAGCAACTGACCAAGATCTAAAGCTTTTCATTACACCTATTGACAGGGAAAAATCATTAAGAAACGTTAGCATGTTAAAGATCGCAAAATCTATCCAAAACTGTATCGGCTCATCGCCAGAATTTATAAAATCTACCCGGAACGGAATTCTCGTTAAATGCAAGGATACGAAACAACATAAGAAATTGTCTGATATACAAATCATTGATAACGTACCAGTGAAGGTCAATTTGAAACTTGATTTGAAGAAAGGTGTCATATCAGATATACCGACTGAGATGTCAGAAAAAGAAATAGAAACAGAACTAAAGAGTCAAAAGGTAGTTAACGTGAAAAGAATAGTAAGGAAAAATCGAAAGAGGGAAGAACCTCAAGATGGGAATGTACATGTAGATTTAGTTCCAACTCGGAGTGTAATTGTTTCATTTGAAGCTACAGTACTTCCCCAAGACATCATTCTTTGTTTCCAAAGAATAAAGGTCAAACCCTATATACCTTCAAGCCCCAGGTGTTTTAAATGCCAAAGATATGGCCACACCATAGCTGTTTGCAAACAGAAACAGAGATGTGTCAGATGTGGAGAGGAGCATAGTTTCGACGATTGCATAAAAAAGGACACTCCCAAATGTGTAAATTGTGGAGGTGAACATTCCGCTGCATATAATGGATGCGAACAAGCACAAAAAGCGCAAGAAGTACAAAAGATAAAAGTGCTGAATAATCTCAGCTATGCTCAAGCTGCTCGCCAATTGAAAGAAGAAAAAGATAATATGCAAGCGCAAGCTCCAATACCATTGGAGCGTAAACTAGCTCCTCACCAACAACATCTAAACACCGCAAATAATCCCCAACCATCTGTTGATCTTGGTTTAAATACAGTAAAGCAAAACCACCCCACCCCCCCAAGTCGATAACTCTCGTGTGTTTCTGGATCACACCCCAAAGGCAGATCCTCCCTTGCCACAACGCCAAGACACTATGAACATGACAGACAATGAAAGCGGACAAAATATACAGTTCCTCAGGAAAACAAAGGAACATCCCTTCACTGCTATCATGTAAAAATGTGTAGAACAGGTGAATATGCATGTGACACCTGTTCTACACATTTTTACATAATAGCAGTGAAGGGATGTCCCTTTGTCTACCTGAGGAACTGTATATTTTGTCCGCTTTCATTGTCTGTCATGTTCATAGTGAGATAGGCAAACTAGCGAAAAAACAGGGCGACCGTCTTCACAAATCAAGGAAAACTAAAGCAACAAATGAGGAATTGATAACCTTCTTTCTTCACCTAATGATCCAAATTATGAAAGATAAGTCAGAAGGAGAGGTGTTGTCTTTAATTAAGATAGCTGCTGGTCAGCTCTTAATGCAAGCGAGTTAATTAAAGGAACTAAGATGGCATTCCGCATCCTACAGTGGAATGCACAGGGATTAAAGGGACACGGGGATGAGTTATTGCTCTACTTAAACTCTATAAAAAGTGAAACCATTCATTTATTATGTATTCAGGAAACATGGTTCCGCGATCACGACAAAATACAAATCGCTAATTACAAATGTCTTGCTAAAAGCAGGAAAACAAGGCGCGGTGGAGGATGTGCCATATATGTACACAACAGTTTAAATTATGATTACCCAATCATAGAAACTGACATCGAAATGCAACAGATTAATTTGTATTTTGACAACACATCCGTAACCGTGATAAATTACTATAATCCATGTGAAGACATAATTATGAATAAACTAGATTTCTTGATAAAGGAAATAAAGAATAAACGTAGAATGTTAATATTAGGAGACTTTAACTCTCATAATGTTCAATGGGGCAGTAAAAATACAGATAAAAATGGAAAAGTGATTGAGGAATATTTACTGAAACACAATTTAGTCTTCCTAAATGATGGCTCGGGTATTCGCCTAAACCCAACTACTGGCGAAACCTCATGTTTAGATTTATCATTAGCAACTCCCGCTCTAGCCAGTTCCACTAGCTGGAAAGTGCTATCAAACAAATTCGGAAGTGACCATTTTCCAATATATATTGAAATCGACAAAAAAAACTCCTAAATCAGATTGTACGAAAGATGACCTAACTCTAAAACGGTCATTCAAGAAGATAGATTGGCACGAATTCAATAAACTGTGCGATCAACGAATGGACACTGACTTGCTGCTAGACGCAGATGTCAAAACTTTTTACGGAAACTTCATGGAATCTCTAAATAATATCTTAAATGAATTACACACTGTACCCAAAAGAAATAAAAACAAGAATGCGAGATTCAACCCCGTCCCATGGTGGACAGAAAAATGCAAAATAAAGATTAAGGAACGGAACGAATATAAAAATAGGTTATTGAGAGTATGGAATGATGAAAATCTAAAATTATACAAACAAAAGAAGGCCGAAGCCCAAAGGATTATTAGACAGACAAAACGAATGTTTTGGCTGGATTACACTTCAAAACTGAACAGGTTCACTTCAATCTCAGAACTATGGAATTTGATTCGTTGTCTGAAGGGTAATCCAAATAAAACTCATTCTAAGATATCAGCACTAAAAGTAGAATCTAAAGTAATTATAGATGATCAAGAAAAAGCTAACGAATTTGGAAAGCATTTTCTGAAGATCAGTAGTAAAACAAAAAGGGAAATAAAGAACTGCTAGATGAATATAAATCTATTGATTATAAAGGAGAACATGATTCAGTTATCAATGAACCTTTTACTATGATGGAACTCGAAAAAGTACTTAATATAAAAAGACATCAGCCCCTGGTGAAGATGGCTTGATATATACTGTGTTTCAAAACCTTCCAACCAGGGCTAGGAAAACATTACTCTGTCTTTATAACAGAATATGGTCTTCTGGGACGATTCCGGAACAATGCAAACACGCAATGTTGATACCAATATTAAAACCAAATAAAGACTCCTCCCAACTAACATCCTACCGACCTATCTCATTATTACCTTGCTTTATCAAGATATTAGAAAGTATGGTAAAGGAGAGATTAGAATGGTTCATAGAGAAAAACGAAATTTTGAGTAGTATACAACATGGTTTTAGAAAAAAAGAGAAGCTCAATAGATAACTTAGTACATTTAGAAAATGAAATTCAGAAATATCTATTTGTGGGTATAAAAACCATAGTCGTATTTATTGTTCTGGCCAAAGCCTATGATACTCTCTGGACGAAAGGATTAATCGTCAAGTTACGTAGAATTGGTCTCCAAGGAAACATATTGATTTTTTTGAGAAACTACTTGTTGAACCGTACCTTTCAAGTGCAAATAGGTAATGCCAAATCGGCAATTACGCATCCTGAAAACGGTTTACCCCAGGGTAGCATTTTGAGCTCCCTCCTTTTTAATATAATGATAAGTGACATACCTTTGAGACCAGATATACATAGCTTGATTTATGCAGACGACATCGTAATTTGGGAATCAGGCCATGATGTAAAACAAAATATCCAGAACATACAACAATATCTAAACTCCTTGAACTCATGGCTCAATCCATTTGGACTTATTATGTCGGTAGAGAAAACGACTCCTATCTTATTTTCGAACAATACAAATGATGATAATTATGAGTTATATATAAGAGGTCAAAAGTTGACACCACATAAAGAGCACAAGTATCTCGGCGTCACATTTGACAAACGGATGACTTGGAGACCTCATTTATTAGATATTAGTAAAAGATGTAAAGGAAGGATTAATGTTATCAAAAGTCTAGCATACGCCAAGTGGTCTGGAGATGCTAAAGAACTAGTGATGATATATAAAGCAGGCGCGGATCCAGGATTTTCCAATAGGGTGGGGGGGGCCGGAAATTTGGAAAGTGTGCAGACCATTTTTACAACTCAACATATCAATACTGACAAGGTCATATCAGAAGCACCATACAGGTACAATTTTTGACATTTTCATCGGGGGGGGGGGGGGGGGGGGGGGGGCTAAAGCCTCTTTCATGACAA